ATCGAGTTAGTTAGAATTAATACCCTTAGTTACCAATACTAGACTGATAGATGATGTTGGGGTTATACCTTGGATTTCATGGCATTATCAAGAAGAGTAGGCATGATTGGCAATTCAGATGGAACTTATATACATAAAATGAATAAGTAGGAGGTCGTATTCCGAATCACCAATATCTAAATTCAGTAATCAGGCAACTCTGTCCTGTTCAGATCATGGTTCTTTTCGTTGAAGGACCAATAGCTGTATCTATGAGTCTTCAGCTTGTGATAGTGGAAGCTAACGCCACGTCATCAGCCACGTACGGTATTAGTGGAAAGCCTCATCCTTCATTAGGTACATATGGACCGTGCGCATAGCTGCTAACCTTATCTCTTATCAATTAATACAAGAACCCTCCCCACTATCAATTATCAATTATCAATATTGGGAAATCGCTTAGAACCCTGTCACGGAATTTCGCCCACACAATTTCGCAACACCGGCAGAAAAGTCAACTTCTCGATTCCTACCTCTATCAACATCGATTCCGCCATCACACCGTCAAAATGCCTCAGGAAATCGCCGATATCAAGAAGGTATATTTACGAATATAAGACTCTGTTTAATTGAATTTTAGCTAACAATTGAGTTATTTAGTTCATCGAGATCTGCCGGCGGGAAGACGCCAAGTGTACGTGACGAGATAATGAATAGAAGATGGTTGTTTTAGTTTTAGTGCTAGTTCTAACAAGTTCCCTTTTTATAGCCGCCCGGATCAAGAAGAGCAAGAAGTCGTCGCAGACCAAGTTCAAGGTCCGATGCTCCAAGCACCTTTACACCCTAATCCTTAAGGATTCCGACAAGGCCGAGAAGCTAAAGCAGAGCTTACCCCCGAGTACGCATTGACTCCTCGCAAACTAAAGCTTCGAATAATCACTAACATTATAACCATAGACCTACAAATCAAGGAGGTTCCTAAGAAGAACAGGAAGGGCAAGCACACAGCATAAGTTCTGACCACGCGTCCGGGGAAAGGAAAACTACCAATCGCAACTGGGGAAGTCTCAGGGTGATGGACGGATAGGCGTCTACGAACGCGGTCATCGAGGACCAATGGGGAGTGATGCATATGCTCTTGTAGCTGGGCTGGTATTTTCATGAGGCGGCGTCTAAGGATACCTTCCGAATTGATGTTTCTCGAGCACGATAACGCTTGTAGACAATTCACAACAATTGCACAAAATCCCGCGATCAGGGCCATTATTTTCAAACAGCAAAAGAGAACTTCTTATTGTGTGCTTAATCATGTCTACAGGATTCTTTCGTAATGCTTCAAGTCAGTACCCTGCGCAAGGGACAAGAGTGCTGCTGAGAACTGAGGGAAGTCTTTTCCTCCTGCGAATTCAATATGCTTCTCGACACTTGGCCACGAACATGACAGGATAAACTGCTCTAAGTTCTCGTCTTCCTTTTCGATGCGCCACCCGGACTTAATTAGTGGTGTATATCCCTCCAATAGGTGCTTATTCTCAGTCCAAGCCTGCTCAAACGCCTTACGTTTCTCAGCCGGGACGGTCACAGCACTTAAGCTAACGATAGGACTCTTCAACAAGGAGATATCGCCGTTCGGTCCCGATGCGTCGAAGAACTCGGCGTTTTCGAGATGAGAAACAACCGTCTTCTCTAGCGTGAAGTGCTCCTTGAGAGCAGGATAGACGGTCTTGTTCTCGGTGGAAGCTAGCCAAAGCCCATGCTGAGAGACGGATTCCCAGTGCGCCGTGAGGAGGGTGACAGATGGATCTTCGATTTGCCGGAAGAGACCTACACCACGGGCTTCTCTGTCCTTAGGTAAGGTCGAGGTGTTGCGGGCGCACCAGTCATCCAGGACGACTAGGGCTTGGTTCATGGCCTTCTTGGCGTCGTCTCCGGCGGGCCCGTGGGCAGCTGTAAACCATGCTAACTCTGTGACCGTCATGATGACTTATTGATGATATGGTAATGAGATATAAAATTGAACTGATAAATGACTTTTACCTCGTAAAAGGATGAAGAGGTAAGTTGATGACAAACGAGGTTATATAGTATTCTTAGTGTTAGGCCGCGTTGCAGAGAGTTACCTTACCTACCCTACACCGCATTTACCAAATCAAGGACCTAACCTAGTCGGGTCCGTTATGTGTGGGTAATTCCAGGCCGGATTTTAATCAACCTAGAAGAAGCCTTAGGTTAAGTCCAATTATAGTGATCATTGTCGCAATGGTTTTCATATATCAGGTTTATACGTGCAAAACTTCCTGTCACGAATAAACTCGTATGCCGCAGTGGCAATTATGTCAGTTGACGTTCATTTCATATGAAGTTCAAGTTAGAAATCAATGCATCGTGGACCGTTATTTTATGTTTTTATGGATCGCGATTCTTATTAGTTGCCTATCAAGTAGCTATTTCCCCATCGTGTTGCCAAGTCTAAACAACTTCAGTCTATACGAAAATGGTCATATAACACAACAGGGGACAACGCACCATTCTAACAACCAATAAATCTTTATCAACCTAAATCTAAATAGAAACCAACCTGTTCATCTCTCGTTTTTTAAAAATTATGAAAAATAATGGGTAATAATTTCAAAGGGTTGCAAGTGCTACAACAGTCTTCTAGGTTAGTGGTTTTTAAACATTATTTTATCTTTAATAGCGTTGTTAGGCCGTTACTTTCTAAAGAAAGCATGCTTAAGCCTTAATTATTGAGAAGAACGATGTTAATATAGGAAGCTTCCTATATAAAATTAGGAATCTTGACATTCTAGGACCCCTATTCTCCGGATAGCAACTCATGATATCATCCTCGGATTTTATAATTCAGACAGCCTTTCGCCTATCATTACTACGTGTCCGGAATGAGATACCGACGGAAATATTTCTTCTATTTAATTATATCCAAGTACCGTGTGTGCTCGCGTATCATACTATGCAGAGTTGCACTGCCACTTGGAATGGCAGATATGTAGGCTGATTCTGCATATTAATGATATTTGGTGGTATTTATCTCAGCCACCCCCCCCTTTAAAACTCTGGCCATCTGACTATGCTCCGGTCCATACTTTATGTTCACTCATCTACCTAGCTTTAAAGTCCAGCAATGAGAAATTGAGTCTATAAAGTGCTACGGAGTGATGGGAGACCCCTTAGGAGCAGTCGGCTCTATTGTGGGCATTGCCGCTTTTGGCCTTAAGTTCGCAACGACGCTACAAACATACATCGAGGCTGTAGCTGATGCGGAAGAAAGCTTACGGGAGATTGCTCTAGATGTCAGTGAAACAGCGTCCGCTCTAAAACAACTCGAAGACTACATGAAACCCGATCAGAGTGGTCAAACAATTGCGAATGATTCGGGAGTGGAAGACGTTGCACGACTCGCATCGCAGTGCGAGAAAGTTTATACTGTCATCATCTATATTATCGCTAAGGCTGTCGGCGTGCCAAAGGACGACAATGGCAAAGTAACCCTTGATGCATTAGATTTACACAGCTTAGATGCCCCAAGTCGAATGCGGAAGCTCATATGGCCCTTACGAGAATATCGTATTAGAAAGCATCGTGAAGAGCTAAGATGGTTAAAATTTAGCCTACTTTTTCGACTGGGACTCATGGAGCTTGCAAAGAACAAAAAGATGTTCGTATTGCATATAACCTTGTCTTGACTATTGCTGATTTTCTGTACACAGGGGCCCAGCCAGATCCCCCGATGCATATGAGAGGGAGTTAGCCTTGCATGCCAAGGTGGAAAAACTCCATGCTCAAATGGAAGCATATATCAACAAGATAATCTCCCGAAGAAGTGAAAAGAATAAGACTAGAAGAAAATCCTCGGCTGAGTCTTCTTCCTCGAGTAGTATAGGTAAAGTCACATATCGAAGATCGAGCTCTAGGCGAGGACAATCCATTGCCAAAACCAGCGATCATAGCTATACGAGATCCCTATCTAGCGTAGAGGACGCTGATAGAAAGGGGAAGAAACCTTCTTCATTTGGTGGAATTATCGATAATGATTCAAAGATTACGCCTCCAACACATGCTCCAGATGTAATGTAAAATAGCCCACCAACGTCATGTTGCCGTGTAGACTAATATATATAGCGACGGTACTCCGAAAGCACCAGTCGGGCTTCCTGGTAATTCAGTAGTTGAAAACAATAAGGATCCAGAAAATCATACCGACTATCCCAAGCAAACCGAACCCTTTCCACGAATTACAGCCCAGGAAATGCCCGGTGCGAACTCTACAGCTTCTCAAACTCAAACACATCCCCAAATAGACGCCCAAGATTCTCCGGCCAACGCAGACACCAGTCAGCCAGTGGATTGCCCAAGGTCAACAAATGCCAGTAATGATGAGAGGGAAACTCCGCACGATCACACAATAGAATACCCCGGGGGCACGGAAAGATATACGCCCGAACCATCCCGAGGAATCTTTGGCGCTCTTCTGTGGACATCGAACTTATTCAGGAAACGATATAAGCTCGTCCACGACTGGAAGAGCCAGGAGATCGAGGGCTACCTTGTCGAAAGTGACACCGGTACCATCCGCAAGCTTCCCTTCAACCGCCAGGAGCTGATAAACCAAATAACACGCATCACCAAGTCAAAACAGGGTAGCGTGTTGAAACAGTATGCATCACTCACTTCTGCCCAGCGAGAGAGCGTAGATCGGGTGATAGCAGAAGCGAGCCGTTCAAGTCATCGCATGAGGTCCTGCGTGGCAATAGACCAGCAGCTCGGGCGGGGCCAGAGGCAATCTCATATTACCGCATTTTTCTCGCTGTCTGCCGCCCAGCTAGTCCATGTCAAGTTCGGCGCAAACTATTTTCAGTTTGCGTTTGAACTATGTCGTACATGGGAGGTAAGATGTTCTCCCAGTCATCTACTTATTACTACCATAGACAAGTTGAGAAGTGCTCACTTATTTATTTATATTAGGGCATCAACGGACTCATTAGACAGGTCGTATGCAATATAAATACTATTAATTCTCCCTTGATACAAGGCATGTACGAGCTTAGGGGCCTTGACGACAAAGTTATCTCACGTGAGATGTGGTGTACCACTGTCCATCCTGGCCTCGTTGTGTTTATAGCCATCTTCGAGCCTCAAGTGTCGCATAATAAGGCATCCCATGGCGCGACTCAGTCCGATCAGGATATGAGGCTTCAACACATAGTACAAAATTGTTGTTTGGCGGTTGATCACATAATGCTAAGTTCGCGTCCGGGGGTTGATCACAGAATACTGAGATGGATTAAGCATATGTTTTCCCGTCGCTCTAAGCACGACCAAGAGCCACTTGAAGGAGCGTCTGAAATTCATACGCTGTCAGAGTCGTCGCAGGCCGACAGCATCGGGAGCATTGAGCACTCCCAGCCAGGTGATGTAGGGACTGAAGAGACGGAAGAAAATAAAAATGAGAGGGGAGAGATCGAGAGAGAAGAGGAAGACGACGAAGAAGACGTCGACATCATTAACTTCGAGGAAGAAGAAATGAATGCAAGACTTGGATTAGGCGTCCAGTTGGGCATGTGGACCACCGTGTTTGACACCGCGGAGAATAACAAAGATGGCCAGGACGGATCCTAACTTAAGAACTTGAGTTTTGCTTTCCGGGGCAGCGTAACAGGTACTACGGCCATTGTCATACAATCTTACTATTAGAACTCGAGTCCGTAGAATAAATCTGTAACAATGCATATGTATTCAATATATATACTCACATGCCTAACGCAAACGCATGTGCACAAGGGCTATCTACAATTTTTCAGAAGCGAAGAGATCCATCCCTCAACTAGGAGGTGCGGCCGACAGTATGTATAAAAACCCATTCCCATTTTCTAGCCACGGCATTAATAAGCTATCACATGATTCTTCCCGAGAAACCACAAGCTCGCACGACCTAGGTCATAAAGGAAATGGAGCTTAGAAGGCGAAGTACATGATTCCGCTGGCGATAACGAGAGCCGCCACGCTGGCACCGAGACGAGCCTCGGCGCGGGCACCGGCGCCAGGGGCAACGGGAGTAGCGGTCGCGCTGCCGGAGGGGGCGCTAGAGGGGTAGCCCTCGGGGACGGAAGAAGGTCCAGTAGGGACCTGACCACCGGAAGACGGGCCAGTGGGAGCAGGGGTGCTGGATCCGGGAGGAACGGGGGTAGTAGGGCCACCAGTGCCGGTGGGAACGGTAGGGTAGCCAGTTCCCGAAGACACCGGGGGGGCCGGGGAAGAGGAAGAAGGCGGGGCGGCGGTCTCCGAGCTGGAGGGAGACTCGGTAGGGTAACCGCCGCTAGAGCTAGAGCTCGGGGCCTCAGTGGAGCTAGAAGGAGACTCTGTGGGGTAACCACCGCTAGAGCTGGAGCTGGAGCTCGGGGCTTCGGTGGAGCTAGTCTCCTCAGAAGAAGAAGACGGCGACGGCGCCGTTGGGTAGCCGGAAGAAGAGCTGCTGGTGGGTTCAGGGGTAGGCTCAGGGGTGGAGGAGCTAGTAGTGGGCTCAGTTGGGCCAGAGGCGACGTCGGCGCAGAAGGTGTCGATGCCCTTCATGACACTGCCTGTATTCGGTATTAATTTTCCATTATTCTCTTTCATATTATATATAAGTAGACATACCATAGTCGGTTGCGGAGCAATCCCTTCGCAGGCAGATCTCACCGTCACGCTTGACGGTGTAGACGGAGGCGCAGATGCAAGTGTTGTCACCCTCATCGCAAGTGGTGTGCTTGTCGACGGTCTCAGTGATACACGGGGGTCCGCAGGCTGGGACGTAGTCAGCTACGTTGATGGCAGCGGCGACGGCCGCAAGAGCCGGAAGAACGAGCACGCGAAGAGGTGCCATTATTAAGTAACTGGTAGGTTTTGTTGGGTATATTATTCCTTAGGATAAGTAGCGAGCGAAAGTTGTCGAAGCGAGCGTGTTTATAATTCGAAAAACCCTTTTCCTGATATTTACAGGTGAATCACCTTTGCTACCTCAGTATACAGTTGAATATGTTAAATTACAGTTGAGAAACTAGGTGGATGGGAGGAGGGTTGTTTTATAGATGGGAATCGGGATATGTGCACTTTCTTAGAAGGTCGGTAGAAGATGGGGCTGATCTACGTTCGGCGATAATGTACCTTACGGTATAAGGTATAAGTATAGATGATCGACAACGGGACGTAAATAGAGATTGCTCATGACAGGCCTAATTGCCCGAAACTTCAAACTAACCCATGTTCCTTTTCGCCTGCCGGTGCGGTACGAAGAGGCACATGGGAAGTAAAGCTTGTACTATTGTAATAGGTTTAATGTTGTAATGGGGAGATCATGGAATTTGGAGAAAGCCACATTCTTCCCTTCTTCCCTTCTTCCCCCTTAAATTGGTTAGATTGGACAAGATAGAGTTACGTACCCAAGTATACACCAGGTATAATCCAGGAAGGTAGGTGCAGCTTCAACTATGAGTGGTCGAAGTTACAGGGCTTTTAGCAACCAGGCAACTTAGCAAGTCACACCAACTAGAATTAATGACCACTTAATGCGCGGTTGCGTTGTTCACATTAAAGTTTTTTTCGCCCCTGCCGTCCCTGCATTTAGACGATAGAGCCAACCACAGCCCGTATATGACCCGACGTGAGCCAAAATACCTTGTTTCAACATCCCGATCTGGCAGGTGGAGTGCTTGAAACGCACCGAAGGAACAGCCCATACCTTACTCTATTGGCCTAGTGTAACGTGCCATCGTTTACCCCGGACTCACTATTTTTTACTTCTTTTCACTATTTTATCTGAATTTGTACTACCGCTTCATCAATACGGTACCCTCCTGAACCCTCCTAACCTCCTTCGCCTGCTCCATCTACACAGGGAGGAAGCGGGAGGAGTCAACGCCTCCTTATTGGTCCCAGAATAGCAATTTGCGCGCCGCAGACTAACAGAATAAATTCTCTACATAGTCCACTTCAAATACACAACGGAAGAAAGTGACGATCTTTTCTATTGTCAGCTTGTCTCCTTCACGTCTGTTGGATTTGGTTCCCATGTAGGATTATAACTTCTTTCATCCCTCAACTTTTTTTGCATTTATCTGTGTTGCTAGTTATTAACCAGAAAGCCAACAAATTCAGCCATGTGAAAGTATCGTATTCCTAGCTTAGCTCTGAATCAAATCGTGGCTGTTTAGGCTTGGCTCGCATTGTGACAGCCTGTTGGAGTGGTAAAAAGTAACGCATTGCGCCGCAGCCACATATATATATCCACTCGTATACTAACATATTTATATTGTTGTTATAATGGTCAGGTCTTGGTGGAGGTTACATCCGTGCGCCTTCATGCCTCGTAAAATAGACCAACTGATCTTTTTAACAATTCCTAAGCGGCTGGCCAAGAGTATAATAATGTTATAGTCTATACCTCGTATACGACGTCATTTGACTAGCATAATCATAAATAGAAGCCGTCGTAAAAAAATATGTTGCTAACGACGAGAAATGCTATCCTTCTAGAAAAATTACGAGCAAGGACTTGGAGGTACAAACGTTACATGGCTACCTAGCAATGGGCGTGAGGCCAAATCGGGCACCAAAGCAGCAATAACGTTAGGTAATTATCCGCTCCATAAAGAAAATCAACTTTGCCATAGGTCTAGTTCTACCATGGATCGTTCCCAACGACCTGTATGTACGACCACATACCGAATATTGTCTTGGCGGGAACAATTCGCCTTTCAAAAGCGGGGGAAAGGTCGTGATGGTGATCTGTTGGTGAGATTTACTGAGAAGACGACAGAAACGGCAATGAACCCATGCCATCGCCTGGGTGGTCTCACCCTCGGGTCATGTGAAGTGGCCAGTGACGCAGCGATGTACTATTTCGGCCACAAGTAGTAAGGTGATCTACAAAATAACTTCCAGAGGACCAGATAGAATATAGGAAATTAAAAAGTCATATCGTCGATCATCACTCTGACAACTCTCAAGTGAACTGCCTACCTAACTATGGACGTGTCGCCACATAAGTCGGTGAATATTCTAAGAGCCATGCGAGGTCTCAGGCATATTTAGGGCTAGTTCGTATTCTATGTACTCATCCGTCAAATAAGATATATATCTTGCGAGGTAGCCCCGTCTTCTTCCAACCCTATGGCAAAAGTTCATTTCTTCCGTACTATAATCCGTCTTCCCGCAGTCCGTAAACGTTTTGTTATATCTTTGAATAAAACCAATGAGCTACAAGACAAACTTGTCTATCCAGGTACATGTATGAAAGCTCACTTACCATTAGTGGATATTATGTAGTTTTTTAGATAGAATTAGGTACACTCGACGATAAACTACTTAATTTCACAATGGTGAGATTAACATAACGATCATAATCGAAATGGCCTGAAAAGTTTTAACCCGTGGTGTCTTCTAAGGGATGATGGGGTTAGCAGTATCATCATTAGGAATGCTTGTAAGGATACGAGTAGGGGGTTAAAATATAACGTAGTCTTTGTATGAGTGGCTATCAACCTATCTAAGACTAGACTACTAATAGTGGAGAGTATTTCACTTTAGGCACTCCAATGGTCGAGGGAGTCTAAATATACCACTTTTCGAGATAGGATGAAGAGCCGCATGAAATAAAGGGGTTCCTCAGTTCCAAAACACGAATTAAATGATACGACACAACATAATACGGGCCTCGGCAATAGCATAAGAAATACCATAAAAACATGGCACCTTAACTAATCTGAATTCTCTACGAGATTCTCATAAAACGGAAAGAAAAATCTATAGGTAGTATGTACCTCTTAGGATAATAGGCATGAGTGAGGAGGGGGCAAAAAGAAAAAGGGAAACAATGCGATTATAGCGTAAAGACTCAATATTATAGATGGATGATATTATAAAGTAGCTCATAGAGAGGTAGCCAGACTTTGCTATATTTTATGTCTTGATAGAAGAATTATTAAAAAAAAAATTATAGCGCCTACTTATTATCAAGTAGTCACAGATAATACACCTGTTATACAGAGCATATATAGCGGTCAACACCATTATACAGGTTTATTTAATGTATTCTCTAAGTAACTGGGTAGCTTAGGGCGAGACAGCTTCTTGGTAGGTTGTAATTACCCATACACCTTTTTGATTACCCCCCCTTCCCCCCTATTAGAGATTGGGTGAAGATACGCATAAAAGCCTCCGAGATGTAAGATACGTGTATAATTTTCAAGTTTATGTGCAAGCGTGTTGTTCCTCTAATAAGAATTACACCCCTTAAGCCATTAAGTTGACTTATATGAACCGACTACCACAATCGTCCGTGCCCAATATACGTTATAGAGCCACGACAGCGCGGAACTTACTCGAAGCTTGCGTCAACTTTCCATGAGGACACCTGGCAACATATATACATTTAGCCGACCCAAAGTAGATTTATAAGTCTAAAGAACAGTATAGTATTGTAACAAACGATCAATGGCCAGGTTGGTACGGCCTAGCGAATCATTCAAACTCTCCGCCCTACCTAAGAACTACCACTACCATATACTTACCGCATACTTATGCAGTATTGTTACGAATGATCGCTAGGTCCTGGGGTTCGATTCCCTAGATGGCTACTCCCTATTTTTTTTAATTGGGTTTTTTCTTTTTTTCATATTCTTTTTTTCATATGTACCTATTTAATTATACTTATAGTAGATTTATCGCCATTGCTTATTAGCAATTATGAATCGTATGATACATAATCTAGTTAGTTAATATCTCTGTAGTATTTCTGGAATTTTAGGTAGCTCATTTAGAATCATAGCATCAGGGCCGTCTTGTGATAGATACGGATAGGACCTTGGCCGTTCGTTATTTGCTTGATATATAGGTGGATATAAGATGTGTTCGCTAATGATATTTCCCTATTCACATATATTTTGGTTTAAAAATCATTTTTTCAACCTTGGAAATATATAATTCTAGTTGATGATGATAACGTCTACGTCTATTATCTGCTATATGCTACCTACCTAGGTGGATACAACGCGCATCTATGGCGCTCTTAGACGTCTAGAGTACTCCTTGGGGGGAACAGAGCCAGAGGATCGCCTGATATAGGAAAAAATATATAATTCCTGTTATTCGGTATCCTTCCCAAAATTGGCATGCGATCTGTTGATGGCGAACAAACGATAAACTTCAGCTGGTAATGTTCTTCCCCCTGACACGAAATCTTTATAGCTACTGGGATGTTATGAAATGCTAGCAAATGCTATATATACGCCCCCGAGAATTTACAAAAATAAGGAACACTGCGTGGTCCTGATGCCAGTGACGTATACAGCCTTGCCAAATCTCCCGATCTTAGAAAAGTGAACGTCGTGTAATAATGACCTGTTAGATATGATAACTCCAACCGCAGCCTTCCGCCCGCGCAACTTCCCCTCAATTCCAAGATTGTACTATGTAGCTTTCCCCGGTCAAGAAGTGAGTCGCTTCAAGTGATTGGGTTTAAGTGACTGATTGGAAGGGAACATGCATAATATTGACCTAATTGAACCCGCGTTGGATACGCGTTTGAGTAGCCGGTTGGTGCCACGACCTCCAACCAGATGAATCGAAATCCAGGTATGGTCGCACAACATAGTTATAGGCGGGACAATGATTTCGAGTTGAGGCCTCGAGTTGAGGCCACCAGAAGACCTCGATTCATATAATTTAATACCGACTCCCAATCTTTAGGCAACATGATGGTTTCTTGGTAAACCAGTGAGAATGGGGCGTAAGAAAGCACCTGGAAGGCTGGGGATGGACCCGTACTCGAAATTACTCCATCGATTCTATGAACCCCTTATTCTGGCTAGAGTCCTCGGACAGACACGAGGAACACATACCTCAGCCCCTCAACATGACGAGAGTCAATCTGGACGTAGAAGGCTGCTCAGTAACCTTTCTTACCTTTGCGACTATGATAAGGGAGGCGATACGACTTCTTCCATTGCTCTTGAGGACACAGACGAATGCTACATATTCTGGATCGCGTCAAATACAGCTCGGGCGGGCATCAGGAACTTAGGTGGGTTAAAAGAATTGCTGAAACAAATACATCACATCATTAAGCTTAAAGAAGAGCAAAGGAGTCCCTTTGAGGTTAAATTCACCCGCGCATGGGTAGATTTTGCTGAGAAGAGGGTGAAGAAGGAGGTCAAGTTGCTATCAAGGGCGATAAATGAGTGCGAAGGATATATCAGCAAGGAAAATTCCGTACCAGGTTGGTTCTAACTGCTTACCCAGTTGCTTAAATCAAGCTATATGGGTACTTACACTAAATCTTGCAGATTCCCAATTAGTCAAATGGCTACAGCAATTCATTCCTGCCAAAGGGAGGTCTGTAGCTGACGTTTGCTTCCAAGTTTATGATCAACGAAAGACACCAGAGTTTCGTTCACTGGAGGGTAAAACTTACTCCGGTAATGGAAACATCGATCCTAGAAAATATGAGTCCCTTTTCGCAACAGTACGTCATCGTCTAGGGCGATTGGCTAATCATGTCCGAGCACCAAAGAAAGTTATCGAAGATTCACTGGAATTGGGCCACCTATTCGATGTGTACAAGATTTGCTTGGTTAACCCACCACCGATTAACGAACCACCCAAGGCGGACTCTCTTACCGAGCTTCACAGTATCCTCAAGCGGATGTTGCCGGCCAATGACCCAAATTGGAGGAATATACAGAGGCTCTAGTATCTCTAGATCATAAGTTCCAAATCACAAGACGAATCCGCGGAGAATATGACAATAAAAACTTACAACTGCGCGTCCACGCGGAGGTTCAGATTCTAGAACATTTCTATACGAACCAACTCCGCTACGTTGATAATGATCACTACATTGGATGCAGCAAGCCAGCATGTTATTGCTGCCACCTCTACTTCCGGCATCACAAGTCTAGTCCCGTGGAACCGGTATCACATCAGAAGATATATCTGAATTGGGGAGTACCGGCGCTGCCCGAGGGATCTAGAAGTCCGGGCTACAATATGCAGCGAGATCTGATGAATAAAATGTTGGAAACGATTAGGAAAGATGCCCTGGCACAGATCATACAGAAAGCAGGACCGCTCACATGGCACCCCGATTCGCTGACGGGGATTACTATTTCAACCATGGCACTTCCTGCGGAGAAAGTCCACCTTGAAGAGAGTGTTCTTGAAAGACAGTTAACAAGTTCGAGTTATGGTGTGTTTCACTATTTATTCACCCTTGAGACTACTGCAAGAAACTAATATACGCAGACTCTATTATGCCGGAAATCATTCCCGTCATGGACGCACAGTCACGGATCGCTGAAGAATGGAGTAGCTCATCCCTCGACAACGATGATTCGTCGACCTGTGAGCATCAAGGGGAGGCTATAAGTGAATTTGACTCCGATTCCGACTCTGATGGCGGGGTATCTTTGTAATGTTGTGACTTTATGGCATAAATTACCTTTTATAGGACGCCATGTGAGGATAGGCTTGGTTGGCTTGCAGCTTCATGCCATTGAAATATATTATCTTAATCTCGTAGGGAATGTCACGTTAGGCCTGCAACTGATTTATCGGAAACGGTCCTAAGTATAATATAAATGTTAGTTAGTTATCTCATATCATCCGATTGAAGATTGAAGATGAGATAATTCGAGGTTAATGTTGGTGTTGCAAACTTTAAGTTTATTAAAAGATCTTGTCATTGTCTTAGATTAGAATCATCAATAAGTCAATATGCTGTCAGTTATACATAGGTACATCAGTCGGTAATATACCCTGTTGGGCAAGGTCCGAGTCGGAAGGCGTGGCCGAACAGGGATATTTTCTTCTGGGGACCTTCTGCCAAGAGTGAGACCGGCAGCCAATTCTTCCTGTTGTGTTCTAATTGGTTCATTATGACTGGTTCTGCTTAAAAAGGCTACGTCTAGGTTCCCACTGATTCCCATTGCAGCGGCGTCTGGGTTGCTATCGGTACCCTGGTCAGGTACACGGATACATCTATATCAAATTGGGATAGTGGAGCTTTGACTAGGTACTTTGACTCGTCCTTGCTTGTCTTTGCTCGTCCCTTCTGCCCTCTAAGCAATAAAAAGGGGTGGGAAAATTTCCCCCCCTTGCTTGCCAGCTCTGCAGCTTTGCGCCCACTTTGATTACCTTACATTGATGTCCAACATCGCAGTATATCTCGTCTCCGATTCCTACACCGATTCTTATCAACTCTACTTATCAACTCTGCAGCTCCTTCAATTCTATAAATCAGTTATATCAACTTGCAGTGAATGTAGCTTACTGAAAAGAAAGAAGTGTGATCGCATTTCCTTGCGTCCTTGTGTCCTTGCGGTACCTACATACATAGCATAAGGAGCATAATAAGCACCAAAATGCGACATAACCAAACATAATTAGGAAGAGCCTTACCGAGATTACGACTAATACTACCTACACCTCTATTCCTTTTATTTAATTATCGATACCGGTATCATCTCATTCCTACATCGCACGACTCGAACCTAAATCTTTCTTTTCCTTTTCCGCTCGTTTGACTCTAGACGCTTGCAATCCCAATCCGGTGCCGCTCATACTTTTTACGCCACTCATCGGTATCTGGCGTATATTTATTAGATAACTTACGTGGGGTTCTGTTCCTGCTGGGAGCTAGCTAATCTACCTAAGGTATCTATCGTCCCACAAGGAATTCTGCAGCAAAAGTAGTCGCATAGCGTAAGAGCTTAGGGGGGAGCATCTTGGAAGATATTCTATTAATCAAACGATTTCACAACGACTTTTACTCCAACAATCCCTAACAGCGCAACCTCGGAAATGTCCAACGGTATCAATGGTTTTCATAAGGAGATTGAAACACTCCATATAAACGGCAATGGAAATAGTACGAACGGTACAAATGGGCGATCTGCGTCAGAGGAGAATGACAAGAAGAAAAAGCGAATGAGTCGCAAGCTCTCCAGTCCTATGATGCCGTCCTTTATGGTCTCGGCTCCTGGCAAGGTCATCGTCTTTGGCGAACATGCAGTAGTCTATGGCAAGGTATGATACAACTTGCTTTCTCAGTACCTAGTTACTTCTTTGCGCACAAGTTCACAAGATATATAGGCCGCTATCGCTGCCTCCGTCTCGCTCCGCTCCTACCTCCTAGTGACGCATCTCTCCAAATCGAAACGTACAGTAACCATGCAGTTTCCCGACATCGACCTTATCCATACGTGGAATATTGACGAATTACCATGGGACATATTTCAACAGCCTTCTAAGAAAAAGTATTACTACGATCTTGTCACATCTCTCGACCCCGATCTCGTAAAAGCTATTCAACCTCATCTTGCAGGCATCTCGCCAGGGAAGTCAGAACCCGAGCGAAAAATACACCAAAACTCCGCCGCCTCGTTTCTATACTTGTATCTGTCACTAGGATCGCCAAAGTCCCCAAGCTGCAGGTATACCCTTCGTTCGACAATACCGATTGGGGCTGGTGTTGGGAGCAGCGCGTCGATTGGCGTCTGTCTAGCTGCTGCTATGCTGTTACAAATTCGTACGCTATCTGGTCCGCATCCCGACCAACCACCTGAAGAGGCTCGTCTACAAGTGGAAAGGATAAATAGGTGGGCTTTCGTGGCCGAGATGTGCATACACGGCAATCCTTCTGGCGTTGATAATACAGTTTCTACACATGGCAAAGCTGTGGTGTACCAGCGAACGGACTATAAGAAACCGCCAACGGTGACACCGCTATGGGACTTTCCCGAATTGCCATTACTCCTAGTGAATACTAAAACACCAAAGTCTACGGCTGCCGAAGTGGCCAAAGTCGCGAAGTTAAGTGGCACGCACCAGGAGCTAGTGGGAACGATTTTGGATGCGATAGACAAGGTCACCAGAAGTGCGGAGAGTTTAATAGAGGAGGAATATTTTGACAACGAGGAAACGGAGAGTCTACGGCGCGTAGGAGAGTTGATGACAATCAACCATGGTTTACTTGCGTCTTTGGGCGTTTCGCATCCTCGCCTCGAACGAATACGAGAACTAGTCGACTACGAAGGGTTCGGATGGTCGAAGCTTACTGGTGCGGGCGGTGGCGGTTGTTCGATATCGTTAATGAAGCCGGATATCCCTCAAGAAGAGCTGGATAAGCTAGAACACAAACTCGACATGGAGGGATACCAAACATTCAGGACGACTCTTGGTGGAGATGGTGTCGGCGTGTTATGGCCGGCAGTGTTGAAGAACGGCCTAGACGAAGATGAGGAAGGCGGCATGGAAATCGATCTTGAAGGTTTCCTGAATGCACCAGGTAATGATGGTGTGGAGAAGATGGTTGGTGTATCTGGGGGTTTAGACGGAGCTGAGAGGGAAGGCTGGAAATTCTGGAGGGTCGAGAGCCAATGATGAGATTATGGAATAATGGGAGGCGGCTTCGGGGAAATAGTTGCTTCTGTGGATCGTAGGAGTATGGACTGCGGGTATACTAACGGTGTATTCGGGGCTCTCGTTCCGGTTATATCTGATATAATAATTATAGAGAAGCATCGATAAAACGAAATCGATAAAAGGGAACATTAATGAATGAGTAGCTCGGTCACGGTTTATACATGGAAAATGGACCTATGTAGGTATCTAAGGATTGTAGGGATAAGTACCTACTAGGTAGGCTTAGGGGATTTACTAGAGCAATATTTTAAGTTTAAATATTAATAAGACTAATCATTGGCCAAACGCGCCTGTCTTTTATAAAAAATAAAAAGTTGGGTATATGAGGTAGGTTCTTAAAGGTGGTTTGTACTTGCCCCTCCATCCCTTTATATGCAGGTCTATAACTAGTGGAATTTTGTTGTCATCAGCCTTCATTTCTGAGTCTCCAATTTAAAGGTATTTATCTGATTTATCTGAACCCCACCATTTATACAACATCGCAGCCATGCCTCCAAAGAACAAAGGAGGTGCTAAAGCCAAAGCACCCGAACGTATATTATTCTCATTTATTTATCATTATTATACGTATGTTTTAGAATGGTTGCTAATAAGTAAATCGGTTAGCAGCGAAGCAAGAATCTCCGAAACAACCCCAGACCATCAAAGAGCTCGAGTGGCAGTGGTACTACGAGACGAATCCTTACCAGAAGTCCTTCGAAGAGCTTGGTCTCCATGGCATGACCCCAGCTGATCGACAAGCCTATCTCAACCAAGAATATCTAAAACCGGGCGCTGCCAAGACCCTCTCCAACAAAGCACAAAAGGAACTGTGGAAGCAGCTAAACGAAGCCAACGTTCCTCTACGCAGCTTACCCCGGCCGCGCGATCACCAGTGGGGCCGCGACAAGAACGGCCGCGACGTCGGCGATTATACCGTTGAGGAGTACGAAGCCCGCGAGGCGAAGAAGGTTAAGCTTCTATTGCTTCTAGACGAAAGCTCAGCTTTTAAGGTCAAGCGCGCGAAAGCCGACGAAAACAACCCCGACAACGAGAAGACATACACTTGCACTTGCACCGAAGGACGTAGATGCTGAAATAGCTAGGCGGAAAGAGATGTCAAAATTACAGTACGACCTATACGGCGCCAAGATGGATCCCTACGAGCTGGATCCAGACTGGGATGACGTCGTACCGATACCTCAGATCGAGCCCGAGGGAGCGCTTGCCGCTATTGCGTATCCGGATGAATATTCTGAGGGTATGTGTAAATGGACGCGGCTTTGCTAGGATATGCTTGGATTATAGATACTAATGGTTTCCCAGCTATGTCCTACCTCCGTGCCGTTATGGCAGCGAAAGAGTATTCACCCCGATGCCTCAGACTAACCGAGCGCATCATATCCTTAAACCCGGCACACTATACCGTCTGGCTGTACCGGTTCTCTATTGTACAGGCTCTAAACATATCGATCCTAGACGAAATCGACTGGCTCAACGAAGTCTCTCTCGCACACATCAAGAACTACCAGATTTGGAACCACCGGCAACAGCTGATGGAACACTACTACCCGACGATCGTGACGGTGCCCTCAGAGGTAGCCGACCTAGCTAACAGCGAGCGGAAGTTCCTAGAGAAGATGCTCCGGCTAGATACGAAGAATTACCACGTATGGAGCTACCGGCAGTATATAGTGCGCAAGCTGGGGATATGGGGCGACGCCGAGCGGCAGAGCATAGAGACCCTGATCCACGAGGACGTACGGAACAACTCAGCCTGGTCGCACCGCTTCTTCGTCGTATTCTCAGACCCGGCGTACGCGACACCCAACTCGCACGCCACGGAGCACGACCCGAAGATACCGGATGATGTCGTCGACCGCGAAATCAAGTACGCCCAGCAGAAGATCGAGCTCGCGCCGCAGAATCAAAGCCCCTGGAATTACCTCCGCGGGGTGCTAGTCAAGGGAGGCCGGAAGTTGGTGACCGTAGGGGATTTTACAGAGCAGTTTGTTACGAAGCTAAGCGATGCGGAAGCAGAGGAGGTTCGGAGTTCGCATGCCTTAGACTTGCTAGCAGATATATACAAAGAGACAGGGGAGCTGGAAAAAGCGGACTTGGTACTTAGACGGCTAGGCGATAAGTGGGATCGCATTCGGCGCGGGTACTGGGAGTACAGGCGGAAGCTACTAAAGGAGGACCAGCGTTAGAGAGAGCATGGCCAACCTGTAGCTTCGCTATGGGGGCGGGTGGTGAAGCTTCATGAAGATTGGGAGAGGGCGATGAGTAGAGGAGAGGGGAGGGGTGAGGGTGATGAATAATATCCTTAGAATAGGTAGAGTTATTCTGAAGTTACTATCTAAGGTATCTACTTAGGTAGGGCCGTTGCGATGCATTTAAATCTATGAATGAAGACGTTGATTTTATGAGATTTTATGAGATTTAAGAGTTGTTGTTGGTACTAGACTTGTTTTGAGAGAGGGTTGGGTTTATCTATCCCCCTTTTTTTGACATATCCTCGCCTTCTATAATCTCAACACCTATGATAGTTCTTTCCCTTCTGATTTTCCTTGGAGATATATGCTGCCTTTTTTTCTTCCTCTCTTTCCTTCAACTGCCTTATGATTCTTGGATAGTTACTTAAGTTGTAGTCTCACAAGTTGGTCACATTCCTAAGCTAAAACCCATAGGTGGTAAAGCGATATGTAGTTGGCGGTGCACCAGCCTCGTTTAGACCTCTGTTGTAATGTCCCATTCACTAGGATAGATGGATGCATGTCTACCACCCACGGCCCTTGCAGAGGCTGCCTTATCTACCGTAGCACACAAAAGCATTGGTAGGTATAACGCAAACCCACGGCTTCGCTCCGTTTGCGGCGTTTGCTTCATCCCTCTGTCCCTCCCTCCCTCATCCAGTTCCCCCCTTACAGAGCGCGAAAGTTCTGGCTAACGATAACCCACTTCCTCAGCCCGCGGGACGCATTCCTCCCCCAAGCCTCCCAATGCGGCACTAGTAGAAACGCCTCGTTGAACGGCTTCTCGAGGGGCTCGTTGTCGTCCTTGCCGGTATTACTTACCCCCCCTCCACCTCCAACACCTCCCCCTCCCCCTACAGCCGCCCCCGCCCCCGTCGCATCCCCAACCTTCCCGTCCCCATGCCCCCTCCCATACCTCACCACGCCGCTAACCTGAACCGCGAAGCTCAGCCTATCGCCGTTGCGCACGGCGGCGGCGGCAGTAGCGTCGCGGCCAGCTCCAGCTCCAGCGCCGAGTTCCGGCTCGCCGATCCGGAAGCACGGGTTCACGGGCTGCGCGTCGAAGGACGCGATGTCGTAGGATACGGGGCCGCCTTGCGTTTCTAGCAACGCCTCGTACGCGGACGCGTCGGGAACCAAGAGCCCGTTTATGCTGATGTCGGGCTTGACGCCGGCGGCGGTCAGGCGCGCGGATGTAGAGGCGTAGAAGTTGTTGATGGGGCGGCGCTTGCTGAGGGCTTCGTAGAAGTGGTCTACGAAGGCTTGGGCGGCTGGGGGCGTGTTAGTAAGGGGGGTTGTGAGATGAGATGAGATGGGATGGGTGAAAATGAGAGAGCTGGGTTGGATAGATTAGATTAGATAGGTAGGTTACCTTCGCTGGCTACTTTAGCCTGAGTCTCTGGGCTTGGTAAGGCCATTTTTGACGGAGCTGGAGGATCTTGATGAGATCTTCGCCTCTGGTCTGGGTTAGTGGTTTGCGACCCTTCGCTCTTATAAGCGATGAGCTGAGTTGGGTGGTGGATGTATTTATTGAGCTAAGCCTAGTTTTTGATTTCACAAATTACTAGGATTTGGGGTTGTGAAAAATAAAGAGTAATTAAGGCTTAGTCATTCGATGTTATACAATGAGATATGAGTGTGAACTTTGGAAATTAGACAGGTTGGAGTTGTTAGGATTATGTTATTGAAGGTTTAATCGCAGGGACGACGCTTGAGTGAGTGAATCAAAGGATGAGATATCATGAAAACAATCAATTTTGCCACACTGTGAGATCCATTCCCTTCTTGGTTGTAATAGCTGCTAAATTTAACTAGCAGTACAGTCTTAGTTACACAAGTAAACACTGTATACGTATCTCTCAGCAAGAGCAATTGCCCATCGTTTGCATCGAAACTTTCTATACCTTTTAATATTCAAATTGTCCATCTATCTTATCACTTACCTTACAGCCAAACCCTCTATATTCGACTTTGTGTAAATTCCCACTTCCTCCATAGGCCAAGTTATAAGATATCTATACTCCAGCGGCACCAACTCCTCAATCTTTACCAGCAGCGGCTTGACCCTTTCCTTAAGCCACCACCTATCCTCCACCCGGTGCAGTAAAACACACCAAAAAGCCATTATGAGAAGCGCCGCCGGACGTCTTGCGGCGAGATCATCTCCGATCCGCTGCTGGTTCATAAAAGGCGGGAACCTAAGAGCCGCATTCTTCCGATTGAGCGCCGTGTCCGCCTGGTCCGACAGGTAGAAACTCAGACGAAGCTTACACATGACCTGCGCGTATTCTCCCTTATGCTCGGGCGCGACGGGGAGTTCCTCGCTCAAACCGAGAAGTCTCGCGTCTGTAGGTCCGCCGCTCAGCTCTTCGGGTTTAGGTGTCGATAGATCTCCCAGAAGCACGCGCAGAGGGGATTTCATAATAGTAGGACCGTGCTCCACGGTGACTGCCGCAGTTCCATGGATTAAGACCAGCCATTCGGCTAGAGACCCGGTCTCCTCGTTGAAAAGCAGCGACAAGGCGTCTTTTGCGGCGGCGAAGTGATACGGTATAAATAGACACGAGCAAGCAAATAGCGGGAGGGCCGTCTCCGCCGAACTAGCAGCCAGGGCTTCGCGAAATAGGGGGATAGCTCTGGCTTGATGCTCGGTAGCTACGCGCTCTAAATATTTCGCGTGTTCCGGGGTGGCAGATCGGAGGTGCAGCGCCGCGACCGCGAGGATCTCATGGAGAAGATAGGGATGCCGTGTCGCGAGATCGGGGATGAATTCTCGCCAGACTGCTATCGATGCGCTATCATCGGCCTGCGCGGTCGATGTGGACTTGATAAAGTGTTGATACAGACCGAAGTCGGTAAAGGTAAACGACGGCTCCTCGTAAGATCGTACTATCACTTCCGGCGTATTTGAGTCCGGTCTATTATTCCCGGGTGACGACGTCGACACCAAGCTACACGGAAGCTGTCTCTTGGCGCAATATGAGCACGGTTGCTTCTCGTCGCATTTTACCTTTTTGATTTTGCATGTGGTACATCCGGCCCGGCTCTTGTGGTGATATCTCCGGGACGAGGATGACATTTTTGGGTTAAGTTCATCTCTGCCGCATCTTGGGAGGTTTTCATATATTAAAGTTATTAAATAAAGATTTCTATCAATATTCTCACTGTCTATCAGAACATTATACAATGATACGTACAAGGGTTACAATCCTTACATGTAGAGAGGTATGATGTTTGACATTTAATTGGATCGGGTCTCTTTATGCATTTACTAAGAGATATTATACGGAAAACATCCGTTTCCCCGCCGTCATAGTAATAACAGCCCGAAAACCATCAAACTTAAAGTGAAGAAGGGTTTCTAAGTGAGAATGGTAGAGCGGTTAACTTATAGACTGAACATGAAAGAATATACTCATTAACTACCATTGATTCATACATACAGGTAGGCGTTTAAAATGCTACTCATTACTGACTATCTCTAATCGCTCTTCATGACGACTCCTTGCGAATATGCCAATGAAAATGTCCTGAATAACCTTTTCGGGTCTGCTATCCAACGTTGTACCTCATCCCAAATTCTACGTAATCCTTCGCCGCCGTCGCCTCCGAACCGGTCTCTCAACTGCGCGTAGCTATAGAATCCATCCATCCCCAACTGTTTTAGAGACGCATATGGGCCGTCACGTACGTAGAGCGATTTCGATATTTGGACGGAACCTTTCTAGCTATTCCTCTGCTACACCCCAAGCTTCATATTTAAGACAAGGGTGTTTGAACAATATCTAGGATACAGAGTGAGTCACTAGAGCTATATGATTGCCTTAAGGAGACTATGGCTATCGACAAATGAAGAATACACTGATCACAACAAGCAGTTATGCCTGCTTTAGAAGCTTGAACGTCGCTGTCTCCTAGATCGCATATGGCCATATTATTATTAGACATTTAATATCCTTCCTTGTATAGCCATACTAGGTATGTGAATGGTGCCTTACTGAGGTCCGAGGCCTGTTCCACGAAGCTATTCTGGAAGTCCCTACTCGGAATTAGGGCCAGGGGAAAGGTTATGGTCGGAACTTATATTTAGCAATCACCTAAGTTTGTCCTCTCTGAATATAAAATAGCCAATTTAGGGGAAAAAAACCTTTAACACACCTTTGAAGTGTTGAAAATGTGCTCATCTCAATTTGCCAACAGTAATATAATCTAACTCGCCGTTTTCCTAAGAGACAATTCGTTTTCTTCGCATAACGGTATGTAAGTGGCAAATAGCTAAACTAAGCTACAGAAGTAAATGTATCAACCATTCTTAGTTCGCCAGATTTAAAGTTAGTGGAATTCAGGCCCCATCTTACGCCTTGAATTTAGCTCTATTCGTAGAGCATGCATAGCCAGTAGGAAGAGAAAGTAATTTGAAAATTTCGATTGGAATTTATGGTTGTAGTTGTAAAGTTGTAAAGTCCTAGGTTAAGTCTAAGACTCGGATCTGAATAACCTTTATTTAGGAGTGCCATCCCACTTTCCTCGTCCGTACCTTCTATCCAACTCCCCATTGAAAACTTTAAGACATCGACTACAAATGACGTAGTAAACCCAGTACTGTTATATTTATATCAGTTAACATATTTAATGATGTATTTAAACATATATAAGAAGGCGCTTAGATAGTCGTCTAAACTACCTATTCATTACCAATAATAAGCTCGTAAAGATCACACCCAAGCATCGAAACGTAGCTAGATCCACGACTCTCGATAGCGCAGTGTCTAAACTAGTCTTGTGAGTATATCCAATACTACTAAGCAAGCATGTGCTGCTATAATCGCGTTTCCCGTGATCAAAGTTCTGGAATATCCGTGGCGAGTGCTCATTCGGTATAAGCTACTTGCTAGATCAACGCTAGATAGCGTAGTGCTATTCTTTCTTCCTCTTCCCTCTTCCCGTAGTAGAGTCGCAAGATGTCTCGATCTCGCGCCTATCGTCTTATCTACCTATAATCCTCGCATTTCCCTCACCATTTTTAAACGGCTAATACGTCTAGATCTTAAATGCGGGTGCCCCGATACTGGAGCGACGTTTATAGTCGACTCTACAATATATCGTTTCTAGAGCCTTATGATTTCTATGCATGTCGGATCGTGGCGTTTATTTCGGGAAGTGCCATAGGCCTAGTCGTTCCACCACGCTGTATCCCATGCCTAAGAAGTCGCACAGCTGGACCCAGTTCTCCCCTGCGAACTCGCCTTTAGCGCAAGCACATCCAGCTCTAGAATTTTGCGAGAGCGCTTTTCCCTTGGCGAAGAAATTCCGAGCCGAAAGCACGTAATCTTCTTCCCCTATACGTTGACTACCTCGTGGTAAATGAACTTAGCGTCGGGTGGATCGAGCGATCTCTGCGGAGCTGCATGTTCGACGTTATACTTCGACGTAGGTGTTTGATGCGCTGTCTGGTCCAGTATGTCTGATTCGAGGTCTAAAGACTGTATCCTAATGTGTTTAAGGCTTTACTGAGAGCGATTGTTGCTGGCGGCGACTGCTTAGGATATAGACGGATGGAGATACGTGGTGGTGTTCGAGGCGAATATGCTCGAGGCAAGCATGCCAAGCTCGAATGGCAGTGTGAACTTCATAGTCGATTTAGATCGTGGATAACGATTGACTTTGAATATCGTTCTATTCGGCGAGCGTGTATTTCCTTTTTTTTAAGGCAAAAAAGAATAAACGTAGCCACTGTGAATCTGGGGGAAGGGTATCTCTATATGTCGACCAGCATAAGGGGGTTTATTTCTACGGGTAATCTTATTATAGGATAGGGTCTGGTCCCATGGCCCACCTGAAACTGGGGAGTAAAAGTCGATAGAACGCTAACATACGTGGTGTTATCTCGTATCAGATCCATCGTTGAAATACTTAGATATTATGGCCCAGTAAAGAGGTGTTCGGTGTCCAGATCTCAGGCTGTTATTCGCACCTGGCCTCAATCTGTGTTATCCCCCTAAGGCACTGCCACAGTAGACAGCTTCAAAGGGGGAATTCAAAGCCAATTGGTCCCTTCGTTCTTCATATTGAGAAGAACGATATTGGACACACACTTTTCAAATTTTTGTTGCGCTTCGGATAGATCGTCAGGGATAGTCTAGATTTTGTCCGATACCTTCCCATAACGGATGGTTTAGGGTCGCGTTGTGCAGGTTGTGCTGTAAAGAAGCGGGACATGATCCGATTTACTAATTTCAATTCAGCTCAGCCCCGTTTCTCGCTTCATCATCATCGCCCTCAGATATTAATAGGGGTCTGTGTACCTGTGTACATGCAGGTAAGAGTCCGAACAGGGATCATTCTATCGAATCTGGTAGCATATGGATATGATTGGTTGAATCGAAAGGATTAAGACAAACTTTAAACTAGATTTATGAGATGCACCGAAGTGATGAGGTACGTACTGTACATATAAAACCACCTGTTTGGTTAACTTTGTCACAACCTTAAAACATGCCACATAGGAAAATGCATATAACTTTTAAGAATTTCTTATCGATCCATAAGCATTATTTCCTTTATATGATTACTTACATGGCACATTTATTTTTAAATAAAAGCAAAATTAAAGTTAAAAAAAAAGTGTTAGTTAACGGTAGTAATTAATAACATTACGGTTATATAATAAAAATGTAAAAAATATAATATTATTAACGTATAATATCGTATAATATTATATAATACCGCATAATTAATCAATTATATGTATATTAAAAAATGGTTTTTTTTTATCCGATATATTAATATTAAATTAAAATAATATTAATAATAAAATATTTATTTAAAGTTATTTTACGTTAAATTTAATTAATTAATTAATTTTATTTTATTTTAATTTTTATTTTAATTTTAATTTTTATTACACCCTTCCATTTTTCTTCTTTTCCCTTCCTTCTTCCTTTTCTAACTTCCCATATCTTCTTTTTTTCTCCATCCCTCTTTCCTCTCCCTCCCTTCCCTTTTCTCTTCTCCTTCCTCCTTCTTTCTTCTCTCCTGCGTATTATACGCATTGTTGGATAGACAAGGTTTGCATGTAACACAAAAAGGTATCATATATATGATAGGTAAAAGTTGTTATTGATGATGTTTAATACGTATTTTAATCGTGGATTAAAATACGTGGGAATATATATAAAATGAGTGGGTTTATCCCACCTAAATTACATGACCAACGTTCCCACACGCATNTGTACCTGTGTACATGCAGGTAAGAGTCCGAACAGGGATCATTCTATCGAATCTGGTAGCATATGGATATGATTGGTTGAATCGAAAGGATTAAGACAAACTTTAAACTAGATTTATGGAGATGCACCGAAGTGATGAGGTACGTACTGTACATATAAAACCACCTGTTTGGTTAACTTTGTCACAACCTTAAAACATGCCACATAGGAAAATGCATATAACTTTTAAGAATTTCTTTATCGATCCATAAGCATTATTTCCTTTATATGATTACTTACATGGCACATTTATTTTTAAATAAAAGCAAAATTAAAGTTAAAAAAAAAAGTGTTAGTTAACGGTAGTAATTAATAACATTACGGTTATATAATAAAAATGTAAAAAATATAATATTATTAACGTATAATATCGTATAATATTATATAATACCGCATAATTAATCAATTATATGTATAATTAAAAAATGGTTTTTTTTTATCCGATATATTAATATTAAATTAAAATAATATTAATAATAAAATATTATATTTAAAGTTATTTTACGTTAAATTTAATTAAATTAATTAATTTTATTTTATTTTAATTTTTATTTTAATTTTAATTTATTATTAAAACTTAAATTTTAATTATATTTTAAATTAAATTATTAATTTTATAAATTAAAATAAATATTATTTATTATATAAAATAAATATTTAATATAAATAAAAGTTAAAAATTTTATATTATAATTACATAATTATTTAATTATATAATGCGTATTATACGCATTGTTGGATAGACAAGGATGTTGCATGTAACACAAAAAGGTATCATATATATGATAGGTAAAAGTTGTTATTGATGATGTTTAATACGTATTTTAATCGTGGATTAAAATACGTGGGAATATATATAAAATGAGTGGGTTTATCCCACCTAAATTACATGACCAACGTTCCCACACGCATATTACGTATTATATGTATAATATCGCATAATTAATTAATTATACTATAACTTACATTTTTATTATAATAAATATTAATAATTATTACGACGTTTTATTTTAAACAAATATTATTATTATACTTACGTAAAAAAATAATTTAATCGGTATTCCCTTATTTTATTTTAACTTTAACGCGTATTTAAACTTATATTTATTACATCGAAATTATTACATATATAATAAAAATTTAAAAAGTATTTCGAAATGTTAATTTAACTATTTAAGTAACATACCATTAATATACCTAATTTTACATACAGTTGCACATAATACTGTATAAATCGGAAACATTACCTAAGTGGTTAGGTAACGATTATGTATAACGGGTGGCCAGCATCGGCAATCGACGGGTAACCGAAGCCGTTCCCCAGTTTCGGATCCCCGTCGTTTCCGTAAGCCCTAAGCGGACACCCGTAGCTTTGCATTAGACCCTGGGCCTTATCAACGGGACCTGCAGTGTTACCTTACCCCATGTTCCCATTGGACATAATTACGCATACGCCTTAATGTCATAGCTGCGTATAGCTTCGTCCGATACAGGAAGAAAGTATAATGCTTTTATAGGGATTTAATAGACGGTGATGGAAGAAATTAGATTCGTTCTTGAGAGTGTTTAAGAAGAAATTTTGCTTATATTCTTGTAAGGATTTTCGGGAGAAAACTTATTTTATAATATACAATTCAGACGAAGTAGTGCTAACATCCATCTGGATATCATCGTTATTAAGATAGACATACAAGAAAGCGCGATAACTAGGTTCTAAAAGACTATACATATATTCATCTGATATTTATTACCAATAAACCCCCCAAGATGGGCTCCTGCAATCCAGAGCCTCAGAAGCTCTTCATAGAGACACCATGTATACCATCAATAGCTCTCTCACGAGCAGCGGGCTGGTCAGGACTCCTATCTTTACCTCCCTACTCTACTCCCACGTCTGATCTTAACAACTCCAAAAACTAACACAGAAAAAAACAGTAACATCTTCCTCAAACTCGAAAACCTGCAGCTCTCGGGGTCGTTCAAGTCGCGCGCCGTAGGAAACATGATGTACCAAGCGATGCTTGCCAAACCCGCCGGCAACGTGCACTTCTACTGCTCGTCGGGCGGAAACGCAGGCCTGGCGTGCGCAACGGCGGCAGCGACCCTGGGACAGCCGTGTACTATCGTCGTGCCGATGATTACTTCCCAGCACATGATTGAGAAGATACGACGTGAGTTATTTACTTATTTGTCTCTAATTAAGGATTTATATATATTTGGCGATAGATATGTCCCAGTCCAATCCCCCCCCTTTAAGAATACCAACGCTAGGGAGATAACTAGGTACCTGTCAGCTAACCTCGACACACCCAAACGCAGTCCTCGGCGCCAAAGTCCACCAGGTAGGCACCAACTGGGCCCTCGCGGACGAACACCTACGCACCGCGCTCCTCGCCCACGACCCCACCGGCGTCTACGTCCCGCCCTTCGACCACCCGGACATCTGGGCGGGCAACAGCACCATCGTCGACGAGCTCGCCACGCAGCTGCCGGCCCACGGCGTAGCGCACATCGACGGCATAGCGTGCAACTGCGGGGGCGGCGGGCTGCTCAACGGGATCATGGCCGGCGTGCAGAAGCACTACACCTCCGCCGGGGCAAAAGAACCGACGGTCCTGGCTGTCGAGACCGTAGGGGCGGACAGTCTGAACGCCAGCGTCAAGGCGGGACAACTGGTCACGCTGCCGGGGATCACCAGCATCGCGACTAGTCTGGGCGCGCCGCGGGTCGCGGAGCGCACGTTCCGGTGGAGTCGGGAGGCGCGGCATCTGGAGAGCTTGGTGGTGACGGATGCGGAGGCGGTGATGGGTCTGTGCGGTTTGCGGACGACGCGCGGGTGTTGGTGGAGGTGGCGTGCGGGGCTACGCTGGCGACGGTGTATAATGGGGACTTGAGGAGGGTTGTGGGGGGCGAGGGGATTAGCGACGAGGCGTGGAGGAGGAAGAAGTGGTTGTGATTGTGTGTGGGTGGGGGGGAATGTTTCGCTGGAGATGTTGAGGAGTTATGCGGAGACGTATGGTGTAAAGTAGAAGCGTATATCTCGCTGATGAAGGGATATGTATGGTAGAGTTGGAAGTGATCTTCATCGTCAGGGGGGTTCATACATACCTACCTAGGTATATAAGGTATACAGACAGGGCAAACAGGACGCATATATCGATATATATTGGGCTATAGCACCTCACCTCAATATCGTAGACCTCACCATCCATCCACTCTACTCCCCCAACTGCGACCTATCATAAAACAACTCCCTATACGTATCCCCCATCACAGAAGAGCCAGTCTTTCTCCACTCGTCCGTCTCCCCAAACCCATCAAACACCATCTCTATCTCGCCGAAATAGTTCGCCTCGCCTCTCTGCTTAAACCCAAGGGCTTGGAACAGCACGATGCTAGCTTTGTTATCCGCGTTGATCTTGGCCACGACATCTTTCAGCACAGGCTTGCTGTCGAGAGAGCCCGTGTACTCAGCTAGGATGCCGTCTAAACGCCGTCGCACAAAGTACAAGAACGTAGCGACGGCCGCGCGGCCAAGACCCATGCGCCGGAACTTGGGGTCCGCGATCATTATGTCGATTTCCGCCGTGTAGTACGTCTTCGCTTCCTTGTGTCCCTGCTCTTGTCCCTCCTCATCGCCATCCCAGACGCTCAAGAACAAATTAACATCCCCCACCATCCTATCCACCGCATCTCCTACTCCCGCCATCACGACCTCCCCAATTTCATCCGTACTCGAGACATCATCGTCGCGTAGTAGTGGTGCACACACGATAAACGTGAGTTTATCCCGGGACTCGCGCCACGACGCTTGGTTCTCGTACTCCTCGTCTAGCGAGAGGCGTTCCGAGGCGGTGGCTTCGCGGATGGACTGGAGACTGTTGTTAGCTACACTTTTTCTTGCCAAGAAAGGGGGATGAAATAAGGCTGGGACATAGGTAAATCGAGCGAGGCTTAAAGAAAAGGAGAGAATACTGGATCTTCCATCCACCTGTGGTACTGCTGTACATGGTGCGCGTCGTACGGCACGAGCAAGACCTTGCTGGTCGAGATGGCTGTTAGAGCTACTTGTTAGCAGTCATTTGTTTTATGTTTGATATATACCTAGGTAGGAATATAATTATAAGGATGTGGTGGTGGACGTTAGATATAACCCGCCTTAGATGGCAGCCAAGTGAGATGAGAGAGGTAGGATAAAACTCACCAATATTTTCATTCAACCTCATTTCTATGTTAAAACTGTGTACTTCTTAAGCTATATATGTATGGTCAATGTCGCATATCTTTTTATATTCATAAATTTAATAACATGAACTTAGGTGCGTATGATTGATGAGAGAAAGTATGGTGGTTTAATGATGTGAGGCGCAAATTGTTTTATTTTAGTCACATGCGTTTTTGACATTCTAGAACTAAACTATCACCGAAATAAAAGACAAATATTATCATCGCAACGAGGTCATTAGAGATTAGAGTCTTTATTAGACCTTTATAATATAATTCAGAAATATATATAATTTTACTTCATTCCCTCATAGTCATTACACCACCACTATAATGTCCAATGAGGTATATAAAAAGGGGAATTGCCATAGGGTATCTATCTCAGCTTTACATATACAACAGGGCATATATACAAATTCGCACATTTTATATCTAATATACACAAAGCACAACGACACCTAAGTGCTTAATCCTCAACAGGCATCGGCGGAAACAAACTACTCTGCGCGCCTTCGCCTAGCGGTATAGTTGATGTCCCATATGCATCATCCGCAAATAGTCGCGCATGCTCAAAGGTCCTCCGATCGGAACTAACACCCAGTCTATCCAGCAGCTCGCTCGACTTCTCCGGAATAAACGGCTGTAGTAGGATACCCGCGACACGCACCGACTCCGCCGCAAAGAAGATGATCTGCTCTACAGCCACCGTGTCGCCTTCCCTGCTCCTGTCCCACGGCGCTGCTTCTTGCAGGAATTTATTTACCTGTAGCACATATTAGGACACTGCTGTGAAGATAGGAAAGAGTGGCGGCAGTGAAGATCCCGAGACTCACCTCGAACACGAATTCCATAATTTCCTTCAACGCCCCCCTGGGATTTAATTTATCCATATGACTCGAGACCTCCTCTACGATAGACTCCAGGTATTTCCTCTGGGTTTCAACCGCCTTAGGGACCGAATGAGACTGCTTCTCGTGCATAGATATCACCGCGTTCCTCACGCTCCAGTTCTTCGGCCTAGTAATTCGATTGAGCAGGTTGCCTAGACCCCCCTGTAGACCCTTCTTGTACTTATCGACGATAAACTCATTGCTGTAGTCTGCATCGTTGGCTATCGCAGCGTTATATATCAGGAAATACCGCATAGTATCCACGCCCCAGCGATCGAGGGCGAAGAAAGGGTTCACCACGTTTCCGACCGATTTAGACATCTTTTGTTGGCTCATCAACCAGTGGCCATGACTGAGGATACACTTTGGTAAGGGTAAGTCCAGGGCCATGAGCAGCGCAGGCCAGTATATGCTATGGAAGCGCACGATATCCTTTCCGACCACATGGACGTCAGCTGGCCAACCTTTTGTATGTTCGGAACCAGGAGGCCATATGGGATACCCTGCTACCGTAATGTAGTTGATCAAAGCATCAACCCACACATAGATGGTCTGACTCGGGTCGTCAGGCACAGGAATACCCCAATCTAGACGGCTCACAGGACGAGATATAGATAGATCTTCCAGATTATTCTGAACCCAACTGATCACCTCGCCGAAGCGATTGCTCGGGACAACCCAATTCGGGTTATCAGCGTAGAACTTGAGCAATCTATCTCGAAAAGCCGTCAGCCGGAAATGGTGATTCCTCTCCTCGGTCCATTCCACAGCACTACCCGTCTCAATGCACGCCATAAACGGCTTTCCTGTCACAGGCGACACGCGCTTCTCGACCATAGAATCGGGGTAATAAGTCTCGTCGCTTACACAATACCACCCCTCATGCTTGGTCTCGTATATATACCCGCTCTCTCTTAACCTAGCCCAGAAGTACTCGACCGCATCCTTATGTTCTAGATCTGTCGTGCGAATGTAATGATCGTACGAAATATTAGCCTTCTTAGCTAGATCTTTAAACGTTTCCGAGTTGGCATCGCATAGTGCCTTGGGGTGAATATCTTGTAGCTCGGCTGCGCGCTGGACCTTCATTCCGTGTTCGTCGGTTCCCGTGCTTAGTATTGCCTGTTTGCCTTTGAGGACTTGCCATCGTTTGAGCACATCTGCTATTAGCATACTATATAGGTGACCGACATGAGGAGCTTCCGGATGAACTAATTAGCATATGCTTGAACTGCTACATACTGCTGACATAGGACTCACATGCATTGACGTAGAAAATGGGCGTCGTCACATAATATGGTTTGTCCTTAAGCTCTCTAAGGGTTGCGCTGCTGGTGAACAGCTTTCGCGGGGCTTTGTTGCTTCTACATGACTGACATATCCATCCGATGCGCGCCTTTTGCCCGTTCCTAACTGTCGATAATTGCCGGCTCAAGGCCACCCAATGGCTCTTCATGACCTAGAGGTTTCCCGTCTTTTGCAATTGTGACGGAACGCTATTAACCCATTAGGTATTTGTGAAGGTGCCGAGTGTCAATACATTTTTGAGTGGGATGATTAAAACATCGGCGAAAATGGAATATAACACCGATTAAAATTTTAGTGGGGTAATTTAGGGACTACTGTTGGGTTCCGATCTGTCGGTTCAATGCACTTAGACGGTATAAGGTAGATACATCACTTTAGGTAATGCACGAAGAAAATACGATGCTTGTGAGAAGCATTCTCATAATTTATGAGAATGCATAATTACGTCTTGTTCGTGAATCAAAATCATAGCTACCTAGCTAAAAACACAGCAATATAAAGCAATCGTAAACACCTCAACCGTGAACACCTGTTCGCAAATCATGCCATGCATCGTCCGCCTCAAAAAAACATATGCGGAGGGGTTATCATTAACGATTTTGCCGCCCTAGGGTCCCTAATATAGGGGCCAAATCATGCCTCCCTTAACTTGCCATAAAAGGCCATCCTATGCCGCCAGTACGAACCTATCGTACAAATCGACGATAGAAAGTACAGTAAAAACCGAGATCTCGGTCGAAACGAAGAATAATTCTTGTCAAAGACCGGAACAACTTAGTCAAAGTGAGACTAATGTCGCCGATAGATAGGCTAGAGAAATCGAATTAGGGGTGTATATGTATCGAATCCAGGCTTAGAGCCAAGTCGAAAATTAGGAATTTTGTTCTCCATAAGAACACGTTCTTCATAGGCCATCTTGTCCGTTCCAATAAGACGGACTATAGTTTTCAAGGGTGAAATTGACATCATAATTGTCAAAAGGTGGCGTTGCCGTGAGACTACTGTCTCTAAAGGTCTGAGAATTTAGACCGTCGGAGCTGAAAACCAACATTCTCAAAAAAGTAAAAATCAAGTCGAAAAAGTAAGAACCAAGTCTCCGAATGACATGGGTGACGCCACCAAAACAAGTGCGTCGCCGATATAACGAGGGGAGAAAAAAACTAGGTTCCTTTGAAGAGGAACTGGAGGTCCTCATGGGTGAGAGCCTCTAGCGATGCTTCATCTGAGTTGACAGTTGAATTGATCATGCTGGTCTTCTTCTCTTGCAACGCAACTATACGGCTCTCCACTGAATCCTCAATGCAGAGACGTTTGATGATACATGGACGCGTCTGTCCGATACGATGGCATCGGTCGGCCGATTGCCACTCTGCTGCTGGGTTCCACCACCTACGTAAGAAATATATGGTTAGCATGCGTTTACTATAGATAGGTTAGGGCCAAGTAACTTACGGATCAACAATGAAAACTCGTGACGCCTCTGTAAGGTTCAGAGCAACGCCACCTGCCTTCAACGACACCAGGAAACATTCTACATCGACGTTTTTCATGAAATGGTCAATGGAAGCCTGGCGCTGAGCTGGTGTCATACTTCCATCGAGCATGACTGTCGTGATGCCAGCTCGTCGAAGACGCCATTCAATCAGCTGGAGCATCGTGGTGAACTGCGAGAAGATGATCGACTTGTGCGAGGCACTGTCTGATCGCAGCCTGTGGAGCTCGTGAACAAGTAGCTCGATCTTGGACGACGATGTCCAATTCTCCATCTTAATGCGATTGATGATGGAAGATTTCTTGACAAGCATTGCGTCCTGTTCAATCTCAGGCTGCTCGAGATCGATAGATAGAGATATGTGGCAGCGAGGACAGTCTGGTGCCTCCTGAGAATTAACGTAATGCTGCGCACATGAGCGACAGAAGTCATGCTTGCACTTGGATCGAATCGCCTCCTCCAGGTTCGTCGCAGATGCAGCAGACCATCACGTTTTGTCCTCCCTCCGCATTCTTCTTCAGGATCAGGTCGGGGTGGTTAGCAACCTGGCGCATCTGCATGATCAAACCAAAAATATTGGCATAGTTGTTGAGCATGACACCTTGAGCTACGTAGGTGTTAAACTTGCGCTGACTGTTATCCGTGATACTGTTAGCAAAGTCGTTCTCCTCTTCGCTCAAGAATTGTCGATCAACATAGATCTCCTTGACGGGGAGTTCCATAGCATTCGTATGATCTCGCTTGAGACGGCGCAGCATGATTCGGTCCGTAAGGAGACGGAGTTTGCTGAGTGCTTCTTTGCCTTCGCCGTGGTTACCGTTGCGAGTAATAGGGTGTAGAAGTTCTTGATTGAAGACTGAAATATGTGACATCATATAGTGACCACCTAAGATGAGTTAGCAAATACACCGAGTTTCTAGTATGCAAGTAGAGACTTACAGTGTGAGCAATTCTTCGATTCATCTGCACACCATTCAAGGTTGGAACAAGGACACTCTCGGCAGAAGTATTCCGCGAATGGTGTAATTTTGAGGAATCGAAGTAGTGAAAAGAACTCTCCAATTCGGTTCTGCAAGGGGGTTCCGGTTAAGCACCAGCGGTATTCGACTTTGAGGGCAAAACATGCCTTCGCAGTCATGGTGTTCCTAGACTTTAACGATTCGTTAGCGTGGGAGTAGTTAAGGGAAGGGTTCTATATGCTTACCTTGATACAATGAGCCTCATCTAGGATCACACGGTGGAACTTGATCTGGTGAATAGCGCTCTTCTCCTTATACGTGCCCTCTTTCCTCTTGAAACCCTTCTCTTGTTTGCGGAAGAGCGACTCCAGGGTATTGTAAGACATTAAGATAACGTCAAATTTCTTAAGTTCTCTAGTTGTCAAATTCTTGGCCTTGGCATTAGTACCATGGAATACCAGGGTCTTTAGCTTCCCATTTGTGTAGGACTCAATTTCTGATGTCCATTGCATCAAGGCAACAGGTGGCATGAGCACCAGTGACGGTGCCTTAGCAGGATAGTCAGACATGATCAAAGACACTGCCTGAATCGTTTTACCAAGACCCATCTCATCTCCAAGTAGACCACCCTTCCACTTTGTTGCTTCCATAGCCTTCATCCAGGCAAGTCCTTCGAGTTGGAATGGTTTTAACTGGCGCGAGATAGTAGTAGGTTGCTCGGCCTTGTCGGCCTTGAGAACGGGCATATTTTCAAGGTCAACAACCCACATTGTACTAAGCTCTGGATGGTGCTTCGTCAACCTCCTTCTCATTGCATCCTTTCTATTCATGGGACGAGAAGCGCGACGAATGCGAGGAACGCGATTAATGCGAGGAATGATTTGGGGCTGGCTGGGAAGCGCATTCGCATTCGCATTCGCATTCGCATTTGTATTGTATGCGAATGTGCATGTGAATTTGTATGCGAATCGGCGACAGGGCTATCTGAGTCGGATTCTGAACTATCTTCAAGAAGAAGTCCTGCCTCATAGAAGTCGGACATGTTTTCATCAATGGCCTCCTCCTCCTCATCATCATCAATTTCTTGGTGGGACTCATTATCACTTTCAGGATCGGTAAGTTTTGGCTTCTTGTGGGCTCGATTTGATGTAGAATTAAAATCGCTTCCAGCGCCAGAATCAAGAGACATCGCAACACTAGGTCTCTTGCGACCAAGAACCATATTACTCTTAGCCGGGACAGGATTTTCACGAGGTGCCTCCATCATATTTATATCGTCCTCCGAATCCTCCTCGGTGTAGGCGATCGGGGCAGGCCGGCGGCGTGTAGTTACTCTAGATGAAGTCGAAGAGCTAAGGCTGCTAGACTTGGTGCCTGTTGTCGCAGTCGAGCCTTTAGGGAGCTTGGGAAGTTCAACTACCAAGCGCGGCTGACTCTTAGTTCCCGGCTGAGTAGGTTTTTTAGTGATAGAAGGCGCGGGAGTTACAGCATTGCTGGTTGCAGGAGTTGAATACTCGCTGTCTGAAACAGTTGTAGCTGGTGTTGGTGCGGAAGAGGTTGAGTTGCCATCAATAGCGGTGGCTTTAGAGGACCTTCCACGTCGTTGAGGAAGGACAGGTTGTGAAGCAGGAGTACCGCCAGCGCTATCGATGGTAGAACTGTCTTCCGCAGCCTTCGAACGTCTAGTTCGCGGCGCCATGGTGTCGGAGGTGTTGCAAATGTGATATTATGCGGATATGATTAGAAGTGAGGATTAATCAATGAAACAAAAAAAAGGGAAGAAAAAAAAGTTGGTTAGCACATATATGTATAAGTCACATATGTGAGGCTACTTAATGGTGAAGAAGGGAATGATGGTGAATAAGTTTGGGTTTAGGAGATAGGCTGCTGGGCTGCTGGGCTGCATGTAAGAAACAAGCAGGCAAAAAGGATAAGTCAGCTTTGCCTTTACTCCAATTATTAATGAAGAAATGCGGTGGATATTTCACCAGGGGTTGCTTGTAAAGATTGTACCACGGGCTCCGATCAACAATGGTAGATCTCAGAGCGCTAGAGAGTAGCGCCAGATCGGGTTGGGTTGTTGATCATTGATGATGGAAAATGAAAAAGATTCCAGGCAGGTCGGAGAGAAAGGCACATTACTAGGTTAGTATGTAAAGATTTGGTGGGGAAGAATAGAAGGGAAAGAAGGAAGTGGGTCTTATTAAGTTAACGGCGCGACCAATACACGCAAACTCGTGATCTGATCGCCCCTGGGGAAGGTACCAAGGGAGGGTCTTTGCATTAGTTGACCAATAGGAGTACAAAGCTAGCACTTAAAGCCCCTGCAGGTACGCCGGTTCTCCGACTCTAGCGGGAAAGAACGTCCCCCGCCACTGCCCCTCAGGTACACTAAAAAGCAATTAAACTGATAAGATCGCTGCCTGAAACGGAACCACTTAACGCGCTGTTAGCTGCAGTCAGTGGCGTCAACCGTGTGTTAATTCTTTACACTATCAAGGTATCTTATTTGTTCAATGAGTCAAAATCACTTTCTTTTTCTCTTCTTTTACTTGACCCCAGCACATAATAAAAACTCGTAAGCCTGAATAGGGGCTGAAAAGATCCGTGGTTTCCGACACCTAAGTACCTTAACTTACTCAAGTTGTTTACCTTTCCAGGTTGCTAGGGAAATATTAATAATTAAGTACTACGTTCACCTTCATTATCGCCGACCGTGATATTTCATCCCACATTTCTTTTTTCTTAGATGAGGCTTAGCCCAACTCCAGATTCGCACCTTCGTTTCCTCTAATTTTCCGGTCGCTTCCCATCAAATATTACATATAAACCGGAATACAGCATTAATCTCAGTCCTTTCGGGACATCTCTCAAGCCAACTCAAGTCAACAAGATGTAAGCTGTGCCTTTTCAGATTATTGAACCAAAGAGGTAAAACTAACCACTTAACTCAGGCGGCGAAATGTTCGGGGACCTAGGTCTGCCCTTACGGATTATCTGGCCTCTCAGAATATTTCGGCCAGCCAAATCCGCGCTAATCACGAGGCTCGCCTTAGGTCTGCTGCTGCTGCTGCTGCCTCAGACCAAGCTGTCGCATCCACATCAACAGCACAGAATGTAGACACTACAGAACCTACAGAACCTGCAGAAACCATAGAAGATAGCCAGGACGATGGTGAGTCTTCAGTTGCTATGAGCACCCGCCAAGCAACGACACGAAAGCGCAAGCAGGCAGCTGCGGCGATTGAGAAAGCCAAAAACTCCAAGCCATCCAAACAACGCAAGTCGCGCCGAAATGCCCCTGACAACGAGTCTGATGAGGAGGTACTTGAGAGAAGCGCAGCTCCCGTACCCGGCCAGCTTGAAAATTGTGAGCAGTGCGGCAAGCGATTTACGGTAACCACGTATTCACGTGCTGGTCCAAAGGGAGGCTTGCTTTGTGCCCAGTGTAGCATTAAGCTAACCAAAGAAGAGAATGCCGCTAAGAGCGCTTCTAAGAAAGGCAAGCAGAAGGTGGCTGCGGTTCCTACTAGACGTGAACGAAGAAAGATTCAGAGCCTTATACTGGATGGCCAGATCGGAGTCAAGACCTTAATGACCCTCTGCGTCGAGACCCTAGCTAACAACATCCATCTTGCTGACGATCTCGGCGATCTACCTTTACCAGCTATCGATCGCATATCCAGACAGCTATCCAAACGCCGTCTCATGAGTCCCAAGACTCTAGATCTATTCATCCAGCCCCAGGTTCAAGATATCATGATATACGATGGAGGTCGCCTAGGTTCGGATGACTATACCCGAATTTTCCAAATCTGCTCCAGTCTCAAGACTCTTAAATTGCGTAACGCGATCCAGTTCAAAGATAACGTCATGGAGTACTTGATGGGAAGACATTTCACCCTAGATACTTTCTATATATCTGGCGCAAACCTACTCAGCAATGAATGCTGGGATAAATACCTGAAGGCAAAAGGACAAAGCCTTCAAAGTCTTCGTGTCTACTTCACAGATCGTCATTTCGGCAACAAAACCGTAGAGTCTCTACGCAAATACTGCCCATCTCTGACTAAATTGAAAATCTGCCACAACCAAGCGGTTACCGACGAAGGAGTAGAACACATCGGACAGCTTCAAAGCCTTGAGCACTTAGGGCTACGTCTTGTTACTCAGACCCAAACAATGCCTTATGTCAACGTCGTAGAGAAGATAGGGAGCCAGTTGCGTACCCTCTCTATCAGAGATGTTCCAGGTGTTGATGATCGCCTACTTGATGCAATCCATAGCCACTGCGCTCGATTAGTCAAGCTGCGCATCACAAATAGCGAGGTCATGACCGATGCAGGCTTTGTTAGGCTCTTCAAAGATTGGAAGAACAGGCCCCTCCTGTTCGTGGACCTGGAACTATGCCGTCACATCGACGCAGGAAATCCCAGAGTAAATCAGCATATGATTGGCTTCTGCTCAGGCGGGTTCCGAGCCTTGATGAAGCATTCGGGCAAGCTCTTAAAAAAGCTCAACATCCACGGATGTAGACATATATCCGGTGAGGCGTTTGAAGATGTGTTCGCTGCCGGACGGGAGTATCCCGAGCTTTTGGACCTGGAGATCAGTTTCTGTGAAGAGGTAACAGACTTAATTGTCGGGCTGATCTTCAAAAGCTGTCCCAATCTAAAGAGGCTAAATGTTTTTGGATGTATGAAGGTAAGCCTATTATTTTTCCTATTTATATTGATAGAACGAATGAATGAGTGTCACGCCCCAGCCTTTGTTCGAATCTTCTTATACTATTATCACGTCCATGTAACACTTGAAGCTATATGTGACTAACAATATGGTGTGTATAGGTGAAGGATGTGCGAGTGCCTAGAGGGAAAATTTTGGTCGGCGTCCCGAATGCTATGGGGATGATCATTGAAGGCACCGAAGATTAAATCGGGAGTGCTCATCTTCCTTTTTACGATACTCGACTCAAACACACATACCGAAGATACCAGACGTAGTACAGGGCATGACTCTAAGCATTAGGCGTTTGGCGTTTGATGCATTGAGCCCAGGTCGTAGTTTTTGCGACTACATTTACTTGAAGCACAGGCGTTGAAAACGGGTCGTTCTATCCGATCAATTATGGTGCATAGCCCGTCTACAATGTTTATGGTAGGAAGTTGCTTTGCTAATATTCTGTGATTTTTTTTTTCTTGCAGGACATTGCCGTCGTCGATTGACGAGCACATATGTCACATATGATGCTACCGAAAAGGTGGTGACAATAATCCTTCACTGCAAGTCAACAACAAACCTGTACATATTCAGGTTGTCAACTAGTTAAGTTATTAGCCTACTTAGGTACCTAGGTAGATACCTTGGAGCATGATATTCTAGCTTAGCAATGCAAATGATTTCCCTACAATTCTTATAATTACACAAGTTAATATATGAAGCGTTGTGGCGCCGGAGAGTCACGCCGTAGATAACCGTAGCTTGGAATTGCGCCATCGACTTCGCTCCCTTATAAGTGTGATCCACCCTGATAATCATTCGCTTATTTTGAAATATTTTCTTAGATTTATAGATTGTATATGCCTCGTTGTGTTAGTACATATTTTCTATTGTATTATAATTTTCAACCCTGCTATTTACCATATCTATGGAGGCTTTCCCCAATAGTAAAGCCAAGCCGTTACTATAAAAACACCCTGTTCCCATACTCATACTCATACCCATATTCATCTTTCTCCGCACTCTATCCCGGACGCCCCGCTCCGAGTCCGCAGCCGCAGCCGCAGCCGCCCCGAGCAATGGGTTCCTTCTCACCCTCGTCGGCCACGGCCACCCTGCCGTTCAACGTAAAGAATATCGCCGTCATCGGCGCCGGCCCCAGCGGCTTAGCAGCAGCGAAATACTTACTCGCGCAGGATGGTGCATTCTCGCGCATCGACGTCTTCGAGCAGCAGGCTGAGGTAGGCGGCGTGTGGAATTATAGCCCCGTGCCACGGCCCGCCGAGGCGCTGCCTGTGCCGCAGACCGATGCGCATCCCAAGAGGCCGGATCCGCCGGTTTATGTTCCCGAGGGCAAGGTGCCGCTGTTTCCGTCTCCGATGTACGATGACTTGCACACGAATATCCCGCATACTCTGATGAAGTACTCGGACTTGGCGTTCCCCGAGGGCTGCGATATTTTTCCGACTAGGAGCGATGTACAAGCGTATCTGGTTGAGTACGCGAGGGACGTGCGGCATTTGATCAAGTTCTCTACGCAAGTTACTGATGTCTCGCTGCGGAGTGTCGAGGGCCAGCCGCGGGGGCGAGAGCAGGAGCAGTGGGATGTGAGGACTACGGATTTACTTACCGGGGAAGAAACTACGGAGACGTATGATGCGGTGGTTGTGGCGTCCGGACATTACTCGACGCCGTATATCCCGGACTCTGTCGAGGGCATTGCGGCTTTCCACGCCAAGCATCTGGGGGTCATTTCGCATTCGAAGCTCTACCGCAACGCGGAGCCGTATCGCGGGAAGAAAGTCGTGGTTGTGGGAACTGGCGCCTCGGGGCTAGATATCGCGGCGCAAATCCAGCGCGTGTGCAAGACGCCCCTGATCCTCTCGGCGCAGACTGCAGCTCCTCCCGAAACTCTTGAGCATATCGGAAACCCTGTACAAGTCGGGCAGATCAAGAGATTTCTGATCGAGGAGCGGGGCGTTGAGTTCTTCCCCCTAGATGAGGATGAAGACGATAGCGCTGGGAAGAAGGAGAGACGAGAGACGAGAATCGAAACAGACATCGACGCCATACTCTTCTCCACAGGCTACCTCTACACCTTCCCCTTCCTCCCCACCATCCCCCTCGTCACCAACGGCCGCCAAGTCCATGGTCTCGCAAAACACCTCCTACACATCGCGCACCCGACCCTAGCCTTCCCCGGCTTACCCATAAAAGTAATACCCTTTCCCCTAACCGAGTCCCAAGGCGCCGTCCTCGCACGTCTATGGTCAAACACGGTCCCCCTCCCGCCAGTCTCCGTCCTCAAACAATGGGCGCGTGAAGACGGCGAGGGGACTAGCGAGGGGAAATATCATGTGTTTCCGAAGGGTGGAGATGGGCGGTATATCAATGGGTTATATGAATGGCTGGAGAAAGAAAGTTTGGGGGGTAGGGGAAAGGAACCGCCGCATTGGGACGCCGAGATGCTCTGGCAGAGAGGCATTTACGCCGAGGCGAAGATGCAATATGAGAAGACGGGGAAGAAGGCCAAGACCCTCGAGGAGCTGGGATTTCGGTATGTGCCTGAGGAGGTGAAAGTGAAGAAGGCAGAGGATGTGGAGGGGCGGGATCCTCATTTGGATATTGCTGGGTAAAGATATGGACATATGCTGTCCCTTAGTTAATTGGTGTCCTTGAACATGACCAGAAGACGTATAGACCGCGGTTAGGAGTATCATGAGGTTCAATACCAAGATAGATAGATCGTTGACCTAGATCGATATAAAATCCACGCTTAAAGAAACCGCTATATATAGGGTATAAAATAATGTACAGTACGCACACTTCAGACGCATCTAAATCCCAGATCAACTCCAAATCATTAAATATGCCCGATTTACGCCATCCCTATGCAAATGAAACCCTACAGGACACAGCGCCACGCTGCTTCATACCGAGAACTAAAATATCCTACCAGAGGATGGGCCCAACCCCTCAGCGAAAAGAAAGTTTACTGTTTCAGCGTCGCCGCGATCTCGCGATCCTGCGTCCAGTCGCTGAGTTTCGCAAGTAGTTCCTCGTCCGAGACATCTCTCTGGCCACCTCTCCTCTTGAAAGCTATGCCGTCTGGACCGCACCCGCTGATGTGCTCAAAGTAGAGCAAATGGGCAGGAATGTCCAGCCCGCCGGTACCGCCGTTGCAATCAGTGTTCGCAAAGCCCTCGCATACCTTGATATCTGAGGCAGCGTAAAGAGTGCTGTTGTCGCTCTCGCCTGATAACCAGTACTCTGGGCTGGTGTGTCGGTAATCGACGGCGATGGGAGGTAGACGTGGGACCGGGTCGTCCAAGTGCGTCACGCGGAACTCGCCGCCTGGTTGGGCCGTAACGAAATCGACGAAGGCCTGGTTGCCTACACGTGGGCTGCCATATGTGTAGAGATCGAGTTCGTAACCCTGATCTCGGGCATAGGCAGCGACTGTAGCAACAGCTCCACCCAGTGAGTGTCCTGTGAAGATGATCTTATAAGAAGGGTTAGCTTCCTTAGCCGCTGCTACACCGTCCAGTAAGTCGTCTTCTATCTCTTTCCATGATAGAAGGAAGCCAGTGTGGATTAAGCAGTCGTCCACGAGGTCGCAGGGGAGTGGTATGAAAGAGAGACTATATCAAGGTTAGACATTTCCTTCATCGTAGGTATAAGTTAGAAGCATAGGAGGATATAAACTTACTCGGCAATCCAATTGCGAATCGAATGAGATCCTCTCACAGACGCCACGATCAGCTCATTAGTGTCATCCGATGAGACGAAGCCTTGGATATCAGTGAGATGTCCACTTATAAGTGTTAGCCCGATATGTTTTTTCACATCCCTTTCACGCTTACGAGTCGAAGTAATAGCCGTGAAAGTAGTGACTTACGAGAAGGTTGCTACCACCTTAGCACCAGCAGAAGTGACATCCGGACAGGTGTTTTCGGCGCAAGTGACAGTAGAACCTAGGTCTACCTCACTGTTGCAGTAGCTTGCCCCAGCATACTGAGAGAAGAATTTCAGCGTCGAGACGTCGGCTGCGGTAACTGTACCTGTTTATCTGTTAACTAGCGTACCCTTTGACTTAGGAAAATCCTTAAGAGACATACTGCCATTGCTAATCTCAAAGTGAGTAGCAGGAACCGGGCTTGCAGTAGCAAGCAAGGCAAAGGCAGAGACCAGGGCGCAACTAAACTGCTTCATCTTGACCGGTCAAGAAGAAAGGCAACGACGAGACGAGGGAGGGATAAGGCTAAAGAAGACGAGAAAAATACATGAACATTCCGCATGGATGCCTCTTACTTATTATGGTAAGGGAGTGAGAATGTACGACGGCGTGTGGCTTCGAGACAGGCCGATCTCTCCCCGCTAGCTTCTCGCTATACCATCTTGACCTACCTACCTACATAGGTAGGTTACTTTGTGTAGACATGTAGACATGGAGAGTCCGTGTTTCGATTTGGCTAATTCGGCCCTAACAATCCGAGTTTAAAACGTGTAGAAGCTCTTTTCCGATCTGAGAGTTTCAACTGTTCAAAAAGATTCTCTGAGCCACAATCCTAGCCATACCAGATCCAACACGGGTACCGCACATGGATAGCAACACTATGTTTGCGGCAGTCTTGTAGGTTTTCCATACCTCAGAGGAGCGGGGGAGTCGGCGCCGGACAGGACTACTCGTAAAGGTTAGAAACCAGAAACCGGCCCCTGCAGACAGGACCATATCTGCGTTGTCTGAGATGGCGGCTTGTTGGGGAAGGTTGGGGGCGCGCGGCGGTGAAGGACATTGATTGGTCACTAGAGCATCCATAGAGCATCCATTGAGCAACCAATTAATAACCCGAAGCGGAACTATTCTAGCCTTTTCATTCGCTGCTTAATTCCGAAGTTAAGATATTTGCACGACGTAGAAGCCTAGTGATCGCATATGGCGTTTATCTCGGGGAATACATACAATACAGCTAGCCATCTTAACAATTCAGCTCAATATTTTTGGTCTCTAATAGGATATTGAATAATGAGACATTGAAGGGGTTATGAGGGGTTATGAGGTATCAGAGAAGGATTATAGGATTCAAATCTACATACTTTAAATCCTTTTGGGGTTCCCGTTGTTACTCAGCGACACCGACACCGACGCAAATAGACGCAAATAGATCAACTTTGCCCACGTGAGGTTGTACAATCTGGGTAGGTGCGTAAGGTTTGTGACACGCACAAGGATGATCGCTCATGCGGACCCTTGCTTGGCATTCGATTGGATAAAGCTTATAATCGCGGTATTGCGGTATCGTGGCTTGCCTTACTAAGAAAAGCCCTTAAGACACGCAAACATTGAAGAATTCATCTCGACCAATCTTCTTGAACGTGGCTGAGCTTGTGAAGACCGCACATACTATGCTTCGAGATGGCTTTATTATCCAAAATCTTCGAGAACTTCGAAATAGCACCTCGCTTTGGTTAACGTGCAACTCTAACAACATATATTCCAGCACAATCAGCTGTTTATCTGGCTAACAATTATAGGATTATTTAAATGCCTCAGGTTGAGATCTGGATATCGTCAACTAACAGTTTACTAAAGGAAAGAGAAATTGCCAATGAGTTATGAGTTTGAAAATGTCAGGATTTATACTCATTGATAGATATCATACATAGAGCGAGTGCCTATGATAGTATTGAACCAGTAACGCCTGGCCTTCTACTCTCTTACGAGGGCGCTACGCGCCTCTTATAGTAGATAGACCCTTGTAACTACCCCTAACCCAATTATACCCTGACAGAAAGGGTCGAAAATCACCCTAAGACATTATAAACATAGGGGGCCTCTAATATGTAGGGACGTGTGAAACTAATTTGATATTATACCCTCAACTGCCGGCAAGATATAGGTCTATACTCCACCTCTTTATATTAATAAATCAAGACTAGAAAGATTCAAAATTATTAACTATTTTAAGAATAGCGTTAAAGGCTTAGCTGATTAAATTTAATTCTCTGGCTTGCAAACGCGAAGATGGTCTTCTCTGGGATATTTTGTTGGGTATAGTGTTGAGATGCTATATTGATTATAATTGCTATAAAGCGCGTAACAACAACAATGTCAATCTTGTATAGTAATTTCAATATTAGATAGTTTTTATCATTATGTCCTACGTAGATAAGGCTCATCTAAACATTTTAGCTAACTACCTAATAAATAATTACGAGATCAACTACGAACTAAACTTAATCAACCTTCAAGTTCTAATTGAATGCAGCATATGAGGTAGCTATATTGCCCCTTACAAGTTCGCTTAACTAATACCTCCTCCTGGTACCAGACTTAAGATTACGAAATAGAGATGACACTACCTAACCTTCTAAAAGTCGGGGAAGGGGAAGGATCTAAGGAATAATGGAGTTACCTATGTACAACAGAAAAGGTTTGACCAATTAAACTAGGTATCACTTTAACATACTATGTACAGAGGTATTTCTCCACCTATCCCTCACCCGATTTTCTGGTTCTTCAGTTTGCTGGTGTCACATCTTTTGCATGCAAACGCATATACAAACGCATATACTAAGAACCTTCCATAAAATCATAAAACCAATAGTCGCAGATCGTAGAGAGATCCCAGGAACATACATACTACTAGGTTATCTACACACTCACTATTTTTATAGCTGCTTTGAGTATAGCATCGGAAGCTGAAATCTACATCGAGATTCCTTCTCCGATGCTGTGCAGCGCCCATGTTACAGTAGCCTACGTCGCTGTAACCTTACAACTTCCCAACACGTCAGCAGCCCGCCCGACAAGGTCAGCTTGCAACTTCATTTTGTCCATCTACTCTGCATAGGATCAGATGCTAAATGATGGCTGCCGAGATGCGAATGCTCTGTTTCTCCTTTGTCTGCGCTGGTACGGGTGGACCTGAAAGGTGACCGCTATTTGAATCCGAATATGCAAGTGACAACTTTTCGTATTACGTATTTGCATACTACATCACCCTGCCCTATATAGGTCCTTGGCTTTGAAAAAACATCATCCGTTATTATCGAGTAGTCCGGGTCGATGGACCGAAGAAGCCTTCGCAAAGATGTCTTTGACCTACATAGCATTTACCAAGTTGGCGATCCAAATCTCAAAGCACGTAAGCCATAACGAACTACGGAGATTATTCCTTGGTCTAACCCACTACTACCCCGCCTATTCTACTTTTCGAACTGAATGCCGGGTAGCCATGTTCTAAGTATGCTAGGTATGCCGGCATCATCCGAGATCTTGGTTCTGCATACTACATAGTGATGAATAGGGGGAAAGCACCGCTCGGATCAAGCCCGAAAACCGAGCTGCATGCCTCGTACAGCAAGCAGAACCATGTCTTGTGCAGGATAGGCAATCTATGCCAAGTGGGCTGAGCGGCTTCGACCGTCGAAAATGCAAGGCTTCCCCGTGCCCCGTGCCCCGTTCCTGGATCATCCTGTCTGTCATTCATATATTTATCTATGGCAATCGCCAATCACGAGTATGAAAATAGTGTTGCTTTACTGTCCAGCCACACAGCTCGCGTGTTCACCAGTCCGCGATGCACTTTTAAAGTGCTGCAAATATATACACTTAATTACCTAGGGAAACTCGTGTTACCCTGTCCTTTCTTTAGCATAATTATAATAATCTTCAATATGGGGCGCCATTCAGGACTCCGTAGCCTTTCGTTATGTTTACTCGCGAGCACGGCGTCAGCCTCCGTATTACTCACTCGGGATCCCGTCCCGGAGGGCTTCGTCGCCGCCCCGTATTACCCGACCCCTTACGGCGGTTGGGCCGATGACTGGTCCGAGAGCTATGAAAAAGCAATCAAGTTGGTGTCGCAAATGACACTAGCCGAGAAAGTTAACATAACTGCTGGTACTGGTCTTTTTATGGTATATATTACTTGCACAACTTATACGGAACCTTCTTACTAACTATAGTTTAGGGTATGATAACTAACTAATCAGAACTATCCGAAATAACATTTAAAATACTAACATACGATTTCAGGCCGTTGTGTGTGGAAATACTGGCAGTATACCACGATTGGGGTTCCCGGAGCTATGCTTACAAGATGGTCCTCTGGGTGTGCGCACAACAGACAACGTCACTGCTTTTCCTGCTGGTATCACTACCGGCGCAACATTTAGCAAGGATTTAATGTATGAAAGAGGTGTCGCACTTGGTGAGGAATTCAAGGGGAAGGGCGCCAACTTCTACTTGGGACCAAGCGTTGGAGCCCTAGGAAGAAAGCCGAGGGGTGGCCGAAATTGGGAGGGCTTCGGATCCGATCCCGTCCTTCAAGCTATTTCCGGAGCCCAGACGATCAAAGGTGTGCAAGAGCAAGGTGTCATCGCTACACTGAAGCATTTGATCGGAAATGAGCAGGAGCTTTACCGCATGTACAACCCATTCCAGCAAGCATACAGTTCCAATATTGGTAAGCGTACATGACAGTATTATTTGTTGGTTCTAGAGACTGATTGGGCTTTAGATGACCGAGCGGTACACGAGCTATACCTTTGGCCATTCGCAGAAGGCGTCAAGGCTGGAGTCGGCTCAATAATGTCCTCTTATAATGCGGTATGTTAGCTTACGATTGTATTCTGATTTGGGCGGGCCTTATTAATTAAGCTATAGATCAACGGATCTGCAGCCTCTCAGAACAGCCATATTCTGAATGGCCTCCTGAAAGATGAACTAGGCTTCCAAGGCCTTGTCATGACCGATTGGCTTGCGCAGATTTCAGGAGTAGCGTCCGCTCTCGCTGGCCTCGATATGTCTATGCCCGGAGATACAATTGGCAACAACGTACCGTTGTTTGGCTACTCTAACTGGATGTACGAACTTTCACGATCGGTATTAAACGGCTCTGTACCTGTCGATCGACTAAACGATATGGCTACACGTGTCGTCGCTACGTGGTATCAGCTTGGCCAAGATGAGGACTATCCTCTTCCTAACTTTTCTTCGAACACGGCAGATCGCGAAGGTCCACTCTACCCAGGTGCACTATTTTCCCCGGTCGGTGTCGTCAACGAATACGTCAATGTTCAAGCCGATCACAAGGTGGTCGCTAAACAAGTGGCTCAAGAGGCGATCACGCTACTAAAGAACAACGGCAGCTTTCTTCCACTGTCAACTTCAGCGCCCCTCTTCGTATTTGGCACCGATGCTCAAGCTGACCCTCAAGGTATCAACTCGTGCACAGACAAGAGCTGCAACCGAGGCTTGCTCGGTATGGGATGGGGTTCAGGATCCGCGAACTACCCTTACATAGATGACCCGATTAGCTCGTTCAAGCGAAAAGCAACCAACGTGACATACTACGCTACGGATAGCTTCCCGTCCGCCCCAGCGCCGACCGAAGACGATGTTGCTGTTGTATTCATCACATCCGATGCTGGAGAGAATTCGTATACTGTTGAGGGCAACCACGGTGACCGCGACGAATCTGGTTTGAAGGCCTGGCACAATGGTGACGAGCTTGTTCAAAAAGCAGCCGCAAAATACAGCAACGTTGTCGTTGTCGTCCACACTGTTGGCCCTATCATTATGGAGCCTTTGATCTCCCTTCTGTTAAAGCGGTCCTCGTTGCCCATCTTCCGGGGCAGGAAGCCGGCGACTCGTTAACTGAGATCATATACGGCGAGGCATCACCCAGTGGGCATCTACCGTACAGTATTCCCGTCTCCGAGGACGACTATCCCGATAGTCTTGACCTAGTTGCCACGCCTCTCAGCCAGACGCAGGATACTTACTCAGAAGGCCTGTACATCGACTACCGGTATCTAAACAAGCAGAACATCAAGCCGCGCTTTGCCTTCGGTCACGGCCTAAGCTATGCGTCCTTCAGCTTCTCCAACGCTACCATCACCCGTGTGACGGAGCTGTCCGAAGTCCCACCGGCTCGCCCCTCAAAGCCCGCATCTCCCGTCGCTAGCCTAAACACCACCATTCCCGCTGCGTCTGAAGCGTACTTCCCAGCCAGCTTCGACCGTATCTGGCGATACCTCTACCCATGGTTATCCAACGGCGACGCCGATGCCGCGTATAAGATTGGCGCGGCCGGCGACAAGAAGTACCCATACCCAGTAGGTTACTCTGGCACGCAGAAGACAGACCTTCCGCCCGCAGGCGGCCCCCGGCGGCAATCCCGCTATCTGGGACGTCGCGTACACGATCAAAGTCACAGTGACGAACAACGCTAAGGAGGGCACAACGGCTGGAAAAGCCGTCGCGCAGGCATACGTCCAGTTCCCCGAGGACGCGGGCGTCGACACCCCCGTCATCCAACTCCGCGACTTCGCGAAGACGGGAGCAGCGCTCGCGCCCGGGCAGAGCGAGACTCTGGAGCTGAGCCTCTCGCGCAAGGACGTAAGCGTCTGGGATACGGTGCGGCAGAACTGGGTCGTGCCGAAGCCGGATGGGAAGTACAAGATCTGGGTCGGCGAGGCGAGCGATGCTTTGTCCGTGGTGTGTTACTCGGATAGCTTGGAGTGCGAGACGGGCGCTAAGAGTCCCGTTTAGGGGATAGGAGATTTGCGTCTGGGGAATGGGTCGGTGATGATGATGGAGATGGGGATGAGTTTGGGGATGGGGATGATGGAGTGGCGGAGAGATGGATGGGAGATGGATGGTGTGTTAATAGAGCTATAAATAACGCTCTTCGTGTAATTTCGCAGTATTATTATTAAATGAATGGGCCGCATACACCTAAATGGCCCCTTTGAAGCCATCACTTCTAAGCTTTCTTGTGAGACTGGGCTTTCGTATATTGGAGATATATACCACTCACTGTCTTAAAAGCTATCGTATACTTAGGACAAGATATTAAAGTAGCATACCTCTTATAATGGATCTAGGAAGAGGCTAACTACCAGACA